TTGCTGCTATAACAATAACAACAAATAGACAAATTTTCAGTTATTTATTGCTCAAATAACAATCAAAATCAGTTGTTTCTGGTTGGAGGGCAGCTTTCCTCTACAGAATGATCCAGGGCTCAAAGCATAATTATGCTCTCTTTTCTGGCCAGTGGAATGTTGTTCCCACTCTATTAAGGGTAGCTTTCCTTAGGGCTCCCAGGAGACTCCTAAAGAAGACAACTTAATTTTCTATCACCTCTTCTGATAATGCCAGGAGGTGTTATATGTAGAATCTCTCTCTCTCTCTCTCTCTCTCTCTCTCTCTCTCTCTCTCTCTCTCACACACACACACACACACACACACACACAATACAAGCTTCACATGCACTAGGGCATCCTACTATATTGAATTGTCTGAAATGAATGAACCAAATATCATCTCCAAATTTTAGTAGATGAGTGTTTATGAAATAAAGAGGATTTAGAGGCCAGACATGGTGGGTGATGCCTTTAATACCACCACTTTGGGAGGCTGAGGCAGGCAGATTACTTAGGTCAAGAGTTTGAAACCAGTCTGGCCAACGTGGTGAAACCCCATCTCTACAAAAAATACAAAATACACAGTGGCAGGTACCTGTAATCTCAGCTACTTGGGAGGTGGAGGCAGGAGAACTTCTTGAACCCAGGAGATGAAGGTGGCCATCAACCAAGATAGTGCCACTACACTCCAGCCTGGGTGACAGCCAGACACCATGTCAAAACATAAGAGGATTTAGAGGATATTTTCATATTATAAAATGGCATAAACTGAAAAAAATATAAACATAAGCTTATATTTTGAAGAAAAGAGTTAATGGTATTACTAAGATTTGCAGTTGGTGCTCAACACATTTATCAAACCAGACTATTGAATCATGCCCGGAACTTAGCAGCTCAATTGTTATTTTTTAGAATAAATAAATGAATGGTAGTGATATCAGTCTAATAAGCATTTTCAAACATGCAAAAACCTTTAGATATAAAATTGTATATTAAAATTCATTTAAGTTTTTGAGATGACAATTGGTAGATATTCCACAAATGATTATTTCTATTTAGATTGCCAAAGTAGACAGGGATGTGTCTTGTACATGCCACTCAGGACTGCTACATATGTTCATAGAGGGTGAGCGCTGTGCAGACCCAGAAGATGCCATTCACACAGACTCCCATGCAAATAGCTTCACTGGGTTTGTGCAGTGCATACTGTGCACACAGCTGCCTAATTTGAATACATCAGTCCTAACAGGCTGTAAGGGTAGAGTAGCTGATTCACCTTGTTCATCAGCAGGACTGAGTGAGCTGGTCTGGGTGAGTAGTACGTTCTCACTTCATGTACCCACTGCTTCCTCATTTACCACCTCCTCCTAGAAGCTTGTGTTCTTGTAAAGATATTGACCTTCCCTGATAGAAAAGAGTGCCCTCCTGCCAAGGGCATGCTTATCACCTCACCTGAGCCCACACGAACTCCAGAGGACTCTCAGTAATCCTGGAGCAGGAGAACCCCTGCAATGGGAACTGAATGTTCTTTCTCTCTTAGTAATGAGGTACTTAAACAAACACACACACACAGTGGCTTTTTTTTAAACTCAACTTTTTGAGGATTGCCTATTAAATACCAGGAGACATCTTAGCTCTCTGTTAACTAACGATGTCATTAATTTAAAAATGTTCTCATTGTTTAGCCTCCAAAAAAGCCTTGGATGGGTCCTTCAGATCCCAAAGGCCAATTTTAAACATCTTATCCTTACGTACTCAATATTCATATTCCAAAACTTAAAATGTAAGTTACAGATCTCTCTAGAGTCTGGGGTTTGTTGGAAGTTGGGATAGATGAGCCTAAGATGAGAAATAAATAGCCGTTAAGGCTGGGCATGGTGGCTCACGCCTGTAATCTCAACACTTTGGGAGGCTGAGGCGGGCAGATCACCTGAGGTCAGGAGTTCAAGACCAGCCTGACCAGCATGAAGAAACCCCATCTCTACTAAAAATACAAAATTAATTGGGAGTGGTGGCGCATGTCTGTAATTCCAGCTACTCGGGAGGCTGAGGCAGGAGAATCGCTTAAACCCAGGAGGCAGAGGTTATGGTGAGCCGAGATCATGCCATTGCACTCTAGCTTGGGCAACTCCACCTCAAAAAAAAAAAAAAAAAAAAAAAAAAAAGACCAGTTAGGGAAGAGGCAGTGACCAAGGGCGTGGAGAACCATTAATGACTCTCACTACCATTTAAGAGGAAGATTTTATGGGACTTGAAGACTGACAAATAAAGATGAGGATGAACTGCAAATAACTTCAGGATTGTGTGGCTGGACATTTGCTGGTACCATAGCATGATGAGAGATAAAAGGACTAGGTGTGGTGAGGACTTACACACGGAGAGAGTTAAACAGCATATCAAGAGGAGAACAACCCTGGATACAAGAATATCAGCAGGCTTTCAATTTTTGTGCCAAATTAGACAAAGGGACAAATACTACAAATTCAAAGCAAGCAAATATTGTTTGATTTCAAAATTTCTCTTTGCATATTTTTTCTTCTCTCCTGGGAACAACATCACTTATATACCTTGGAGTAATCTCTCATTCTTAACAACATGTGAAAATCTCTCATCCTAGATCCATAGTGGCAGCTGTTGAAAACATTATGACTCCTTCCTTACTGCATTTCCTACTTCTGCTGGATGTCTTCTTGTGCCACTGCCAAAGCCTCCTTTCATTGCATGAGTGTGACCATGTGATTTCTGATGCATTTTAGAGTAGTCCAAGATTTATTGGAAATTCTTAACTTCCCAGAAAATCCCTCATTTTGGATATAAATATAGAAAATAAAGTATGCCCCTAATAATTTTATAAGACAGGCAGGGAGCTCACTCAGCCATTCAATAGCTAGTTGTTGAGTGCTGTTGTTACTGTGGAAGAGGCTGGAAATTCGATGTGGAACTAGATATGGTTCCTGCCATTCAAGAGTTTTACAATCCTAGGGGAAAGGAAAAGGAAAATAAATCAAGCCTTAAAGGAATGGGTAATAAGTGAGATACTGATCCATACGAACAGCCAACTCACACGTGAACGTGAACGTTAGAGAAACTTCTGTAGGTGATAATGTGCATAAATAGAACACAAAGTCTACTAGAAACAGTGTCTAAAGTAAGGTAGCTGCCAAATGCTATAGAAAAGATACTAATTTATTCCAACTAAGTAGACCACCAAGATTTTTTTGGAAGAGATTGCATTGAACTTGGGAGGGTCAAGTGAAATTCCTGGGACATGGGAAACTTCAGGGCTTATTTAAGGTACTAGGTGACATTGTTTACCAAGATCAGGTACAGGTTTGGGGCTACGAGACAGGGAGACAGACACATACTTTAAAAAATATTTAACAGCATATCTAAAATTACATAGTAATACAATATTCAATAAATACTGCCTGGCAGTAAGTGATTAAGAGCTAAATTAAGGGCTGGGCGTGGTGGCTCATGCCTGTAATCCCAGCACTTTGGGAGGCCTAGGTGGGTGATCACTTGAGGTCGGGAGTTCGAGACCAGGCTGACCAACATGGAGAAACCCTCTTTTAAAAATACAAAATTAGCCGGGCATGTCGGCGTTTGCCTGTAGTCCCAGCTACTCTGGAGGCTGAGGCAGGAGAATCGCTTGAACCCCCGGAGGGGATGGGGGGGGGGTTTCAGTGAGCCAAGATCGTGCCATTGTACGATCTTGGGCAACAAGAGCAAAACTCTGTCTCAAAAAGAAAAAAGAAAAAGCTAATAAAAGAGCTAAATTAGAAGAAAGGGCTGGAAGCCCAAGTGTGCATGAATCCCAAGATGCCTGCCTGCACAGACCTGAGGTCACAGGCTCCTTTGACGGCTGGGAAAACCTTACTACTTGGTGTATGCTGGGTAAATGCTTAACTGAGTTAATCTTTCCTTTGCTAGTTAGAGACGTGGAGGATCTAGACTCCCTTGCTGTTTAAACTTTAATCAAAACATTAGAAGAAATGTAGGGCCCCGAGGGAATTGAGGAAAGCACCACCTTGTTGCTCGTTCAGATGCAAATACAGAAGCTGATGAACAAATGCCCTCCAAAAGTTGCACCGAGGCTATTCAGCCCTTCCGTCCAGTTCTAAACCTTTGCAGGGATGGGAGGGAGGTGGGGACTGCCAAGTAATTCACAGATCACAAGGGATGCTCTTTAAGGTGGTTTTCCTGAAATGTTTTATTACCCCTGCTTTGGGCAAGACTTTGTAGACAAAGAGTATTGAACTTGAAGCCTGGGTCTCTACCATGACCTGACCTTGAGCGTGTCATTTAGTTTTTTTGAGTCTCGTGTTCTCATTTGTAAAATATGGAGATTGTGTGCTCCATAATAACAGCTAGGCATTTAGAATCTATCAGGTGCCAGGTGATGCGTTTTCCGCCTATGTCTTGATCCTCACAACCACCGTAGGAGACTTCACTAATCCCATTTTACTCTAGACGTTCGGTTCAGAGAGCTTTGGTGGCATGCCCAAGGTCACACAGCGAGAGTGGCGGATCCGGATTCCACTCCAAGGCTGGCTGACCACAACAGTACGCAGCCCCAGTTTGATCGCAGGTAACCTCCTCCAAGATTTCCCCCAACGGCCCGCTCGGATCCTTCTCTCCTGTCAACACTGGCGTCTAAAGCGCCCCTGCAGGCACCGGACATGCCCCGTAGCTCAGGAAGACTTTCACTCTGCCTCGGGAAATTTTTCACGCAGCTCCGGGAGCCGAGACAGCCCCGCCCACGGCTTCTCCTCACGGGATTGGTAGAATTTCCAGGAGGCAGTGAGGGAAGGGAGGGAGGCGGAGGCCCAGATTATCTCCTGAACCCATTGCGCTCTGGGAGCGCGCGCCCCTAGAGTGCGTGCGTGCGTGCGTGTGAGTGAGCACGTGAGGGCCCCGGAACGTGCACAGTGGGCGGGGACAGGAAATGGGAAGCGAGGGGCGGGGGTTACCGTTGCCATGGCAGTGACGTCAGGCGTCAGGGAGCGAACCCGGCCCCTTCCCCACGCGCGCGCGCGCGCGCACACTCACACACAGAGACATGCACACGCGCGCGCACAGCCGATCTCCCTCAGACACACTGGAGGGAAAGGTCAAACTAAAGGCGAGAGAGCGGAGAGACCGGAGGGAGCTGCTGCCGCCGCCGCGCGCCATGACGGACGCGGCGGAGGCTGCTTTCCCTTTGCGGACGCCGCCGAGCCTCTGCTCTCGCCGCGCCCCCTGCCCCCCGCGCGCCCCTCTACCCGGCGCTGGCGCGTCCCCGCGCCCCCTCCCCCGGCGGCTCCAGGCGCGCGTCGGGCCTGGGGAGCAGGGTGCCGGGAGCGGGAGGGTGGGGGCCGCGGCGGGCGGGCGGCCTCCTCGCGCGACCCCCGACCCCGGGCCAGGTGAGTGCCTTGGGGCGGGAGAGGGTGTCCGGAGCGGAGAGGACACCCGGCGCTCAGCCCCCCGCCTGACCCCCTTCCGGGGGCGCTGACAGGCTCTCGGGACACGGCCTCTGGGGGGCGTCGTGGGGTCACTTGTGTGTCGGGGGTGCTCTTTTGGCGCTCCTGTCCCTCAGGGTAGGGCGCCCGAGTCGTGGGGGCTCGGGGCGGGGGAGTGGGCGCTGTGGTGCGGCCCCGGAGTGCAGCCGCGGCGACCAGGCGTGGGGCGGGCGGCGGGAGGCAGGTGGGCCCCTCCTCGGGGCTCGTGAAGTGCAGGGACCGGGCGAGGGGGCCGCGGGAAGCTTTCGGGAAATGTTTGTCCGGCAGTTGCAAGAAACTCTGCCCTCGGGACGAGGCGCCTTGCTTTTTGCCCGGGCTGGCGAAAGTGGCAGATTTCACGGCAAAACTCGGGTGAAGCCAGGTAGGACCGGCCGGGAGGGAGAGGGGCAGGGAGCACCCGTCTGGATGGGGACCAGAGATGAACGAATCCGCCTGTGGGTAGCACCAGGGCATGATGTGTGCACGTTGCCATGCCAGTGTTTAATGTTTGTTGCTTATGGTTATTTTAGGACTAAATGATAAAAAAGTTACTTGGGACAGAGGGAACTGCTTGATTTGACATGAGTTCTTCCCTTGTGTCTGCAGGAAATAGGTTAATCTTGTACACACACTACTGAAATTATGTCCAGAGGACTTTGCAAATAATATACACAAAACTCTAAAGCCCTGAAGCAAGGTGACGTGTGTCTGAAGAGTTTCAGGTGTCAGGCTCCGTGTTCCCTGGGAACAAAATCGGAGGACACCGAAGTACTTGATATGCCCAGGCAGTCATCTTTTTGTAATAAGCTTTGGATCCCATCAAAGTGGAGTTTAGTTGTAACGGCCAGGGTTAAGTAATCGCATTGACCCAGTGCCACCCACCAGTTTGAAGCTTTTCTGAAAGTAACTTACCAGACAATCCTGGGCTGATTGTGAGTAACCAATGCTTTTGCTGATTTTTTTTTTCTTTTTAATTTTCCACTGTCATAATGTATATGTGTGCTACCTGTTTATCAAACTTAGAATGAATTATCCATACTTAAACTCTCCACTAAATCACTTTGAAATTATCAGGTAGTAGCTTTGCCATAATATGTCTTTTAAAAAAAAACTAAATATTTGTTGTCTGGGAATGACCGATGTAATGGTTTCACACTGAAAGGGATTTTTTGAGCTTAAGTCTAGCGTAAACGTTATCCCAAGTGGATGTGTTTGAAAATTTAAATCTCATCTAAGAAAACTTACTGGCTTGTGAAAGGCGCAGGATTGTGGTGATAGCTGAGGAAATGCCAGAGAGAATTTTTGGTGGAACGTAAGAGAACAACCTGTGAATTTGGTGTTAACCAGCAGTCCCAGCATATAAACACTTGCTCCTTACCTAAGCATTTCTGATATGTTGGTGCTTTTTCTGTTGATGTTGTATCTTTGGTTATTTGTCATTTTCAAGAAGTTTCCTGGACAGAGGATCCTCACTTTGAAATTGAGTCCTTGTAGCATGTAGCTGGGATACCAAAAGTTTCCAGTACCAGATGTAGGGAAAGATCAGTTCAGCTGGGATCTTGTTAATTTTTTCTGTGCAGCTAGTTTTGTGCTGTGAGGTCTCTTTTACATCTTGCTCCTATTGGCCATAGCTGGCATATGTCTGTATACAATCCTTTAATGGGGTACTTAATTGTTACAACCTGAAAATAATATTTCTTGTAACATATCAATAATTTTTTTTTCTCTCTCTTCTCTCTTTTTCAAGGGAACTGTAGAATTGGACAAATCAACACTTAGCATATCCCCCTACGGTAGGTCCTGTTGACCTTGGTGCCATCATGGAGGTCATACGTTCTTGGAGATAAACCGTTCTTGAGCAGTTTACTCCAGGTGTTAAAAACACATGGGAAAGTGATTTGGGCTATGCATGTCTTGGTTTTTTAAAAATCTTTTTTATTGAGCATTTATTATCATTGCCAAAAATAAAATCATTTACTCTTTCTGGAAATACTATACACACATTGATACATTACAATTTTAAGAATCGCTTGTTCTTCCACTTTCCTGGTATTGCTTGTATATTCTACCACAGAAGAACAGCTCATTTTTTGGGTGACATTTTTGGAGCTTGCCTGAGGGGCACTAGGAAGAACAGCAGTAATGCTGGTGTGAATGTTTTAGCTTATGACAACAGCCATGCTCTACTTTAAGAAATTTGACATTTAAAAGTTTAAGATTACAAAACAAAGTTATTAGTAGTTGTTTATGTTATATGAGAATTTTACAAAAGGGATTCACTGGCCGGGCACGGTGGCCCACGGCTGTAATCCCAGCACTTTGGGGGGCTGAGGCAGGTGGATCACGATGTCAGGAGTTCAAGAACAGCCTGGCCAAGATGGTGAAACCCTATCTCTAATAAAAATACAAAAATTCGCTGGGTGTGGTGTTGGGCACCTGTAATCCAAGCTACTTGGGAGTCTGAGACAGAGAATTGCTTGAACCCAGGAGGTGGAGGTTGCAGTGAGCCGAGATTGTGTGACTGCACTCCAGCCTGGGCAACAGAGCGAGATTCTGTCTCAAAAAAAAAAAAAAAAAAAAATCTCATGATGTTTTTAGAAAGTTTACGAATTTGTGTTGGACTGCATTCAGAGTTGTTCTGGGCTGTGGGTTGGACAAGTCCAATTTAAGGAGTACATTGAAGCCTCATTAAAATGCTTTTCACCATTGAGTAAAATTTTATGATCAGGTTTGTCAGAAACCTCATCCAAGGTGGTTTAGTTAGTGGAGTATCAAAAGCACCTTGTCAGACTCTCTCACTAGGACAGTGGCCCCACAGCAGAGGCCAACAAGTAGTTACACCCAGACTTTAGCAAAATCAAAATAAATAGATTTGGTCTAAAGTCCATGAGCAGTAAAAACCGTTACCTTGAAATTTTCTGTAGGTGCAGATTATTCTTCAGAATTAAAGGCTTGATTTTCCTAAGCTGTAATTCTGTTTGAGTCACTTGTGAAAAATGCTATTTTGGTAAAAGAACAACTATGTACACTTTGAAAGGAGATTTTTTCCTTTTGTGTTAATGCATTTGCGTTTATTTGGAATTGCAGAGATGATGAATGAAGTACTTGGTAAGTTTAATTCAGAAATCATTTTGCTTTGCTTATGTAGGAAAAAAAAGGAATGTGAGTTAATAGGAGAATTTATTTGTGGGTTAGTTCATACTTCATATGGGGAAAGGAGGAAAGGGAGGAAGTAGCCACAAACTTTATTAAGGATAACTAATCAAGTTTCGTTTGATTTATGCCATTCATGCCTGCCTTGTGTAATAGTGACACCATCACCTTTTGTTTTTTTTTTGAGATGGACTCTTGCTCTGTTGCCAGACTGGAGTGCAGTGGCTAGATCTCAGCTCACTGCAACCTCTGCCTCCCAGCTTCAAGTGATTCTCCTGCCTCAGCCTCCTGAGGGGCTGGGACTACATGTGCGTGCCACCACGCCCAGCTAATTTTTGTAGTTTTAGTAGAGACAGAGTTTCACCATGTTGGCCAGGATGGTCTCCATCTCTCCATCTCATGATCTGCCCGCCTTGGCCTCCCAAAGTGTTGGAATTACAGGCGTGAGCCACCACACCCAGTCGAGAAATTTTATTCTTAAAGAAGGGGTTTGAAGGATAAGAGCTAAGCATCAGGGCATATATGAAGTAAAAAATATCTTCAGAATGCTTAATAGTGTTTTGTTATGTTATTACATTAGACAGAAAGCAAGAAATTATTTTTAATACTGAATATGGGTCAAAAGCCCAACTTTGGGATACTAGGCACAGTTTCATTCCTCTTAGCATAGTTGAATATTATAAAAATGGAAGGAACAGCTTGAATGGTGCCATTGATTTTTTTAGTACAGGCTTTTAGTTCCTCAATTGAACAAATGAGTAAAAATGAAGATTAAAGAAGAAATATTAAAAGAATTGTTTTCCATTTTTAAAAAAATCCTAAGGGACTGTCTCAAATGATTACTAATTTCAGAACATAGTGAGATTAAAAAGTACATTGGATTTATGATTAATGAGGAGATAATTACAATTTTAAAAAAAGTGAAAAAAGTATACTACTGCAGTTTACAAATATTTGTGCCAAGATACGTGAGGCTAGTGGTAATGATTAGAAATTATAATTGGAAGTTAAACTTGATTTATGTTCTCAATTTCATTATTTAAGCCAATGTCACTTTTAAAATGTCACTTAATTTTTCTGTTCCCAGTGTTCTTTTAATAAAATGCAATCATTAGTACACTGTACTTTATGTAAACTAGGGTTTCAAAATAATGTTTACTAGACTTTTTTTTTTTTGAGAGTCACTCTGTCGCCCAGGCTGGAATGCTGTGGTGTGATCTTGGCTCACTGCAACCTCCACCTCTTGGGTTCAAGCAATTCTCATGCCTCATCCTCCCTAGTAGCTGGGATTACAGGTACCCACTACCACGCCTGGCTAATTTTTGTATTTTTAGTAAGACAGGGTTTTACCATGTTGGCCAGGCTGGTCTCCAACTCCTGACCCCAGGTGTTCTGCCCACATGGACCTCCCAAAGTGCTGGGGTTAGAGGCATGAGCTACCCTGCCAGCCAATTTACCTGACTTATTAAGTATAAAATATTATCTAATAATATGTATGTGTAAGTCCGCTACATGGGATTTTAAAAAAGTTTAGATTTTGTGATCTGCAGAAATGTACACAACAGTTTTTAAAAATAAGAAAGGCTGAGTTCAGGCTGGGTGTGGTGGCTCACGCCTGCAATCCCAGCACTTTGGGAAGCCAACGTGGGCAGATTGCCTGAGCTCAGGAATTCAAGACCACCCTGAGCAGCATGGTGAAACCCTGTCTCTACAAAAAATACAAAACAATTAGCTGGGTGTGGTGGCACACGCCCTTAGTCCCAGCTACTTGGAGGGCTAAGGTGGGAGGATCACTGAGCCCAGGAGGTTGAGGCTGCAGTGAGCCAAGATCACACCACTACAGTCCACTGTGGGTGACAGAGTGAGACCCTGTCTCTCTCCCCCTGCTCTCTCAAAACAGAAAGGAGGCCTAGTTCAGAGTTTTAGTCATGGGTGACCCTGTAAATTGCATTTTCTTTTTCTCCCAAAGGGTTTTCTTTCACTATTACATTGCATTTTCTTTTTCTCCCAAAGGGTTTTCTTTCACTATTACATGTTTATATTTTCCTGATTTCCACTCATGCTACTATTAGGTGTAGGATCATCTTATCTATAGCATTAATACAAAGTTCATTTGTAAAAACTATTCTGTTCATTTTCTCCCTGCTGTTTCATCTGAAAAATTGTTTGAATTTCAGTTACTGATTGCAGTTTAATCAGTTAATCTGAATAGAAAGGTTACTGCAGTTTTCACAGACTAGGGAAATATAAATTTATCTTAAGTTTATGAATATTTTTATATTCCTGTGGGGACAGTTGAGCACAGTATGTATAATTTAATATTTCTATTGGCATTTGTTCTAAGCTTATTTGCTGTATTGTTAAAATAAATATAGTAGGTGTACAGTTTTTAAAAAACAAATTTATTTGTGGAATATTTTTCAAAAGTACCTAAAAAACATGCCCTTAAATAGATGAGATGGAAATTTTGCTATTAAATTGAATATGTAGTTAAATTTGTGATACTGGTATTGCTTTGATTGTTTATATATTACATACGAGGATTTTTTATATGTTTCTGTGAAACTAGTTTTTTTTCTTAATTTTGATTTTTTTATATGTTCCTGTGAAACTACTTTTTTTTTTTTCTTAATTTTGATTTATAAAAAGAAGCTTCTCTAAAAGAAAAAAGTCATTTTGTTCTTAATGATTATATGGTAGTCCTCAGACCCTGGTAGTGGAAAGAAGTAGAAATGAGTGATTTATTAAGCTCTTTATCTAAAATGTCTAGTTGGAGCATGTGATGTAATTTATTTTACTATACTGTGGGGAGATACCTTTATTCCAAACAAATTTATAGCAGAATTATTTGCTATGTTTTGCAAATTTAGGCAATCTGGAGTGTGCCCGGAAATGAACTGTTGATTGACAAGTGTTTGATTGAGTAAATATCATATGGAAATGGTATTTTGCTTGTAATGACATACTGTTTCTTATTAAGGACCATTTCTTAAGTATGTTCGTAAGTAAATATGTTACACATATTGGTCAGATGATGTAGTGATAGCTTTAACTTGTAGCATATGCTTCTCTCACTACTTTCTCCTTTAGTAATTATCAGTAGTTAGTCTTCAGCCATATTCTGTGAGAGAACTTTTAATGCATGATAGAGTGCTGCAGGTTTGTTCTTTTCTAACGTTTTATCTGATGGAGTAAAGAAATGAGAACTATCTGAGATCATTGTGTAACTCTTAATACGTGTTAAGCATTGTTTTGAACATTCTTTTCAGTCTATTTTATTATAAGGCAGATGATTGTTTAAAAATTCTTAAGAGTGAGTGATTATGTTTCCCCAAATGCTAGTAGTGGGAGAGAAGGGGATAAAGGTAAATCGAAAGAGCATAACGATTAGTTTAGATTGTGTAAAGTAAGGGTAACTGTTTCGTTCTAAAACATGTTGAGTTAATCATTGTATGCCTTTTCCCTGGGATTATAACCTTGTTTTTTAATTTGCCCTTTTTACTGTGAAGAGTCAAGAGCAGTGAATTCTAAGAGAGTCATATGGACCTCTTTGACCAGTTTTACATGTTCTTGCTGGGAATATTAGGTGATGGCAGTAAGGAAGATAAACGGTGTCACGCTAATGATCATTTTTAGTAATCACATTTAGATTTCCACGTTATAAGGTGGGAGAATATTGTTAGGAAAATTCAAGTTTACCAATCTTGGAAAAAATTACAGTTATGCCAGTTATATTCTATATCTTACAGCACTGCACTGTACCAGTTTTGAATATTCTGTGGACATAAATACACTAGTTTTGTCCAGCCATGAATTCTGACTTTTAGGTTAGAAAATGTGATCATTTAAACTGTAGTTTTAATGTGAGTGAAAAAGCTGATAATTAATTTTGTCTTCCTTTTTCTGTATTATAATTTTTTGTCATTAATATTGAAGATCTCTTGCTATATGATTAGTTCTGTAGATGACTATTTCATCTATTGGTGAAAAATTACTAGAATGAATTATTGTACTTGAGCAATTAGAATCATGTTAGGAGAGGCATGAAGGAAGTAGAACATATCTGTGTAGAGATAGTAATTTTACTTTCTAAAGCAGTGGTTTTGAAACTTGTGCTGAGAGTGTGCTGGAGGAAGTCAGGCAGTTCATCCTGGTTCCAACCAGTGCAGTTTTATTTTGATTAATTTTAAGCATGGGAGTTTGCATAGGATTTTAGTTGAGTAGGGTTCTGTTTAAAAAAACACAGTAGCCTCTGTTGTTACCATATTTGATCTTATCACTTGCCTGCTTAAATCCTTGCTGTTTTTTTATTGTTATTTTGACTGATAAGACTTTTCTTTACCTAGCTTCTGCTTTATTCTTTATCTCTGATCACTTTCTTTTCCTTTCCATATAAACAGTGCATTCTGGTTCTACTTAAATTGTTTGATGTTCCCTAAGAGGAAAATGTTATTTTTACATCTGCATGCCTTTGCACATGGAACTGCCACCAGTCTCACTTGAGCGAGGCAGAACTCAATTCCCTTGAAACCTTGGTCATCTCTCCATAAGAGCAATTATTACATTGTTTTGTAACTGTAGCCTCCCTTGAGAGCAGAGACCATGTGATGTATCTTATATTCATCAGTATTCAAATGTCTGTTGAATTACTGCATTTAGAATTTGAGAAGTAGTAAAATTACTTTAATAAACACTAATGTGTATAAAATATCCCAGATCTAGTTCTGTGCAAAAGAGTTTTAGTGACAGTGTCAGACAGTATGCTAAATACATAAAAGACACCCAGTTGCACTTACCATGAAGTGTCATAAAGCTAAAAGATATAAGAAAAAATTATATTAGGTTCTGGTGGCTTAAGTGATGTCTCAGATTCAGTCATCTGATCTTAAAAGTTGATTGTGAAAGCATTTTAATAATAACTCTATACAGCTTTGGCTGCCTTTGATAAAATGTCTTCATATGTGATTAAAGCTAATGGACTTAAAGGGGCCTTCAAGTGTCAAGATATATAATACAGCAATACCGACTCTAAAGATAGAATGGAACCAGGAGCTATCCTGCCTAAATTCCTGTCACTCTCCTGTTTCTCAGTAGCTGTGTTGTCTGAGGCAAGTTACTTAACCATTCTGTACCTCATCTGTAAAATGAAGACAATGATACTATTACTTTATATGGCTGTGAAGAGGACCCAGGAATTAATGTATCTAAAGCACTTGAAAGAATGCCCGACATACTGAAAACACTCAGTACATGTTAACTATAATTAATTTGAAGTGGCTTCTTATTTAAACAGATCAATATTTATTGTGCAGCATTTTCATCTTTGAAAGATAATTGCTTTAATACATGAGCATCTAATTTTTTTTTAAACTTAAGATTTTTAGTTACTATGTTTTAGACTGGCAACTGTTTTAGTACGGTCAAAAAGTACTGTGTCTACTGAGGTATTGTCCTGTCTCCCAGTGGAATGTAGACCGTTGCTGTTGGATGGGTTGACATGGGAGATTTGAAAGTATGTTCTCCTGAATTCTAAGCTTAGCACTGAGCTCCCATGTCCTTCACAGGTCTTGGTAGTGCCTGCAACAGAGCAGGGAAGGGAGAGAAATAGTGCAGGATTCCAGTGACAAGTTCTTAAGCCTTAACCTGTACTTTATTCTTTAGTATAGAATAGGTGTTCCACTTTTTTCCCCACATTTTACTCTCTTTGGCTTGGGGTAATAGATTTTTTAGAAATCTGAATTTATATTTCAAAAAGGCATGTGCAAATTAATTGTTATAAGTCAGTGACGCTGCTTTTTAAGCTCACTTTGTAACATGCATACCTGCAGTGGGAGAAGTAAGTAGGGCTTTAGTAATCTGTGTCAGGAACCATGTACTGTTAAATCCTATTAAATATGCACACTTAGTACACAAAAATTTAAGGAAAGAAGATTTTTTTTTCCAAGTTATTTATAAAGAGTATATCTCGTGTAATAATCCCCCGTCTGTCCTAGCCCACCTTTACTTTCTCACACTTATGTTCTTCTAATAATTAAAATATAATAAAAGTTAGTTGGGTAACTTAAAAAAAATTTATTATAGGAAGGAAATGTGATTTGAAAAATAGGAAATTTTCAAATTTTAATAAATTTTAGTGTTTATTATGCCAGCTGTGAGAGAGTTGAAAATGAGGGGATGGGATATAAAGCTAAATCAGGTACTTACCTTTGCTACTTATGACCTGCCAGGGAGTTCAGAGTATGCACAGAACATATGGGAATTTGGAAGCTGGGCATGGAGACTGGAAAAGTGCTGGATTTTGAATAGCGCCAGGAAATAAAGGAAGACTTAGCAAGGGATTATTTTTCAATGCCAGTGACATGCTGTGTAATAGTCTACCATGGGGAATTTGAATACTTGTACGATCGGTCGATAGACTAATACTGTCTTGTAATTTGAACACTAACTCTTAATATTAACACATTTTTTCTCAACAGCTGTCATACGAACTTTTAAAATAGTTTTTGCATTTCCCCTGAAAATAGTGCCTTAGGTCATATTAGGAAAAATAAACTCTAGAATAAATAAAATTTTGACCAAACCTGTTTCCTCTCTAAAAACCCAAGACACTGTTTCTATCTTTAATGTTATCTAGTGTTAAAATTTCATTTCCTTCAACAGCATGTGTTTCCATGTTTGTTAGACCAAACAACTTCTTGTTTTACTTCTTACCTTGGTTCTTGTTCCTTGTTGTTATTTAATTAGAAAAGAGAAATAATTGTTTGGACCTTTTTATACGCCTCAAAAATGTTTAGTTACATAGAAGAGTGAGTTAGATTTATGGTACTCACACCCGATTTGATCTCCTCAAGTGCATTTCTAGCCATGTTTTCATCCACTCTTCCTTGTGTTAGGTTTCTCATAGAAATAACTTTTCACTGAGCTCAATGTGTTTCCTTTCTTACTTACTTGTTCTTGGAAATCTAGGACTGTGTATGTGAAACTTGTTGTTCTTGTACACAATAACTCTTAAGTATTTGAAAATTACTATTCTACTTGAGTCTTCTTTTTTGCCAAGCTAAGGAGAAAAATTCTTGATTTTTTTTAAACCACATGCATGTGATATGGTTTAAAGACCTTTCCCCATCCATATCGCTCAACTCATGACAAAGTCTTTGTCAGTATACCTCTTGAAATGAAGTGGCCAGAACTGAACTGACTACTTCCGATGTGGTTTGACCATTGCGGAATACAATGAAGCTATTATCTAGGATACTGTACTTCTATTAATGTAGCCTGAAATTTGCATTGCATTTTTTTGGCAGCCACATTACTCTTTGATCACATTGAGCTTATGATCAACTAAAACCTTGTCTCTTTTTCATGTGAATCGTGTTAAGTCTAATCTTTGTCACTCTTTACTTGCCAGTTGATGCTTTGAAAGTAAATGCAGGATATTATGTATTGCATTACTGTAAAACCTTAGATGAATTTATCTATCTGGAGATATCAACTAACATTTATACAAATGCACTCAGTTTTGGCTTCATTAATTTCAGTAATGTTTGGTAGTTTATAGGATGCAAGTCTTTTATATTTTGGTCTCGCATATGCCTCTGCAAGTTGGGTTCTCCAGAGAAACAGAATCAATAAGGGTGTGGGGTGTGTGTGTGTGTGTGTGTGTGTGTGTGTGTGCTTGCAGACAGAAAGATTGATTGTAAGAATTAACTCATGATTGTGGTGGCTGGCAGATCCAAAATTCATAGAATGGGCAGGCAGGATGGACTCTCAGGCACAATTTAACTTATATTCTTGAGATAGAATTCCCTCTTCCCTGGGCAACCTGTTTTTGCTCTGAAGGCCTCATTTGATTGGGTGAGGCTACTCGTGTTATGGAGGAGCGCTCTTTTACTTGATGGCAACTGATGGTTAGCGTGAATCACATCTACAAAATAGCAGTATCTAGACTAGTATTTGATCAACTAGACAGCATAGCCTGGCCAAGTTTACACATCAAGCTAGTAATATCATTGTAACATCTGAGTATTACATATCTTTAAGTGCTGTTGTAAATGGTATACATTTTTAAGCTCAATTTCTGATTGATGCTACTTTACTGTTACTTTTTTGAAAACTCTGTAGCCTTCTTTTCATTATTCCTAAATACATGAGGATTACCCCCTATTTTTTAGAAAAAATTAATATTTTTTAAATCAAAAGTTCTAATGTTAATTTCTCACCTTTTTTTTTTTTTAACTGGAATCATCTGACAGGAATGGCAATTTCATTTTAACAGTCTTGTCTTATTTTGTTTGGGCCATCTTCTGGTTATTTTTTTTTATCACAGGATTGTGACAGTCCTTAAATATTTTAGAGATTAAAATTCTAAGTCAATTTAGAGCATAATTGACAGAATGGACATGTTACCTAAAAAAGATACAGGAAGTTTGGGAGAAAAGATAAGATTCATATTTTAGATATCACCTTTATGCTGCTCTCTCTCTTTGGTCAAGTCACTTAAATTTTATGAGTCTCAGGTCCTCTTCTATAAAATGGAGTAATACCCACTTGCTATGGAATTGTCCTGAAGTTAAATGAGATGCTTTGTGTGAAGAGCCTGGAATAGTGCTGCTAAACAGATGCAACTCCCTTTACTATTCTTATATTTTTTCAACAAATATTTGACACTCACTGTGTGCCAGGCACTGTTCCAGATTCTGGAATTACTGGAGTGAGAAATATCGGCAAGATTCCTGTTCCTACAGAGCCTCTGTCTTGGCTGTTCTGAAGACGATGATAAACAACGAAAAGAGTACACTGAACAATTTCAGATTATAGTGAGTGTGAAGAAAAGCAAAGAGTGTGTGGCGATGAAGAATTGCTGTGGTAAGAGCCCACTTCAGACTGGTAGTCAGGGAAGACTTCTTTAAGAAGGTGACATTTGAGTAGAAATGCCCTTAGGATTTTGGAGAAACTAGGCATTTGAGTATCTGAGTGAAAACTTTCCCGGCAGAGAGAAGAGATAGTGCAAAGCCTCTAAAGTGGGGAAAATGTGACAAATTGAGAGAATTGAATGAAGCCGAGATGCTGGCTGCAAGTAGTGGAGAAGTCAGAGAGGACCAGCTAATGTAGGATCTTATAAGCCACAATAGGAAGACTGGATTTTATTCCAGGTACAGAGAGAAGCCACTAGAGGGTTTTAAAAAGGAGGTTTTGTGATCATTAGGTAGAAATGTTGCTGTGGACTCTTGGAAATGAGAACCTAGCTGTGAAACATTAGCAAACTAAACACTAGCAACTTGGATTTCTAGTTGCCCAATAAACAGAGTAAACTTATTTTCCCTGATACAAAAATCCCAGCCAGTCTCTAGCAAAGGCAAATCTAGGTTATCTAGAGCAAATACTATTTTATATCTGTTAAATTTTACTAAGACTTATTTATGGACTTATAGATGTTATATGTTATAAATTTTTAAAAAACAATGCTTTGTGGATTGTTTCCCTAAGTTCATGTGGCAGTTGACTAGCATAGCAGTAAAGAGTACAACTCTGGTTTCAGGTATGAGTATGATCACTGATCACATAGGAGCATTAAGTTAATATTAACAAGCATCTATTGCCAGAATATATTTTATTATAGAATTATGAAATTATTTAGCTGAATGTACTTTAAGAGTTAGTCTTTTTTCCTTTACGGAAGAGGGAACTTAGATCCAAAGAGGTTAAGTGGTTCACATTATATAAACATATAAAAAATAAACCTGGATTTTACTAGTTGTAGGATGAGAGGGTCTTGAGGCAAAATGTGGAATGACAGAAGATAGTGACATCTGTTTGCTTTGTATCTGCTACATTCTTCTCTGTTGCTCATTTGTTTTACATCTATGCTTTTTCACACTTATCCTTGGACTTAGGATATTGGGATATATCAAATAGTTGCTCCCTTAGTGTGGAAACAGACAAGTAAACACACAGTTGCTAACCAAGTTACAGGCATCATGATAAAGGCAAGCTTAGTGTGTTGTGGAGGACATGATGGGTGTGTTTGTTAAGTGTCCCTGTTTAGAGTCTGTTTACTGATAGAGTTGAATGTCCTTGGGTCCTCATTTCAATTTAATATATATTATATTGCCTTGGCTGTTTGACCCTTTTTTGTACTTGTTTGCCTCCCAGCTATAAGCCAGTTTGAAGGCCTTCATGTATCAAGTCTAGTGGGTTAAACTATGTCTGACCAGTAAGACCTACCGTGACAGTCAGCATGGTGACAGCATGTCTTATTTTAAGTAGAAACCTGGTTAGAGACTAATAGAAGAATAGTTGGTTTTGAATAGATGTATTCCTTCTCTTAAGGAATGTAGATTTTATTCTTATATTTTGAAAAATCCTTAAAGGAAATTGAGAAACACCTATCATTTTGCTAATTTTGGCTCCTTTTACTGTTTTTTATTTTGAAGTGTAGCCGTTCCTAAGAACACTAGCAAATGAAGTTCATTGTTGATGTTATAACATATTCTGAATCTTAAGGTACCAAAATACATTCATAGAACAAGTAAAGTAGCACTGCTATAATTAGGGGGGAAATGGTAGTTTTCTTGTAATCCTTTCTCTTTCAAGGGCTTTTAATTTTCTGTAAAAACCAAACATTAACCTTTTGGCAGGTGTGTTTTATTCTTTCTCTCGATTTTGTGTTATAAAGCGATTAAAAAGGAAAGATATTAACTTTTTGTCTCCCACACAAAGAATGTTCATATTTGTAATTTTTAGCTGTGACTCATTGCCATACCCCTGAGTCTCCCTTTGTTTAAAAAGTAATAATATTTTTTTTATCTACAAAGGAGTACCTTTGATGTATATGTGTGTATAAAGTCAAAATGGCATACTTTTTTTTAGAATATTCACTGACTCCTGAAGACTATATTATAGTTGTACAAAGAATTAGATGGCAGGCCATCATGATGGCTCATGCCTGTAATCTCAGCGCTTTGGGAGTCTGAGGCAGGTTGATCAGCTGAGGTTAGGAGTTCAAGATCAGCCTGGCCAAGATGGTGAAACCCTGTCTCTACCAAAATTACAAAAAAATCAGCTGGGCATGGCGGTGCACACCTGTAATCCCAGCTACTTGGGAGGCTGAGACAGGAGAATCACTTGAACAGGGAAGCGTAGGTTGTAGTGAGCTGAGATTGCACCATTGTACTCCAGCCTGGGCAATGAGTGAAACTTTGTCTCAAAAAAAAAAAAAAAAAATTAGATGGCAATCAGTTTTAGCAATCTAATTTGTTAGGTAATCTGGCATTATCTATCTCTTTGGTCGTATGAGGATAAGGCTGCCCACCACCATTATCCATCTCCTGGGCCTTAGGAAGAAGGGAGCCAAAATCTTAGAAATTTGAACCAAGAAAATTGGACTCAAGTTAGCAGCCTAAAATACAAAACCAAACTGTGTATGAATTATTGTTTTCTCATCTTCATTTTGTGCAGACCAAGAAACTGAACTGTACAAGTATTTTCTATGAAAGGGTGAATAAGCTGTCCAAAGTGAGTGATGTTTAGCCTGTGTAGAAAACATCTCCTGCTGTATTAAATATAAAACTGTCAGCTCTTTGAATGTCTCCTTGCAATAATTAATCATCCTTCTCAGTTAACAGCACAGACAGTACAGCACAGGTAAGAGAGTAGGCTCTGGAGCCAGTCTACCAGGTGCTCTTGTGATTCTGACTACATGGCTTTCTGTCTCATATTCCTCATTTACAAAAAGAGGATAGATAACACTAGTACCTACCTAATAGTGTTACCGGGATTAAATGAGTTAGTATATGTAAAGCACTTAGAACATTATCTCAGACATAGTAAGCACCGTATAAGTATTTACTGTTCGTTGTTGCATATTTATAATATGTTGTATTTGTTTGTTTGTTTGTTTGTTTGTTTTTTGACACAGTCTTGCTCTGTTGGCCCAGGCTGGAGTACAGTGGCATGATCTTGGTTCACTGCAACCTCTGCCTCCCAGGGTTCAAGCGATTTTTGTGCCTCAGTGCGCGAGTGACGGATTACAGGCAGACATCACCACACCTGGCTAATTTTTGTATTTTTAGTAGAGAAAGGGTTTCACCATGTTGGCCAGGCTGGTCTCGAACTCCTGGACCCCAGTGATCCACACACCTCAGCTTCCCAGAGTGCTGGGATTACAGGCATGAGCCACTGCTCCTGGCCCTATAATACATTTTAAATGGCTCATTTTATCAGTGAAGCTCTCACAGAGAATTTGGCATTTGAACTGGTCCTTGAAGGATAAATAGGATTTGTAAAAGTGAAACATAAAGAACTGAAAATGGTAAAAGCTAATGTGAATTAAGTTGTTAAGGGGGAGTAAAGAAACTTTGCTTCCATTTAGTGAAGATTAGCTATGTGCCTGCCTGTGCGCTTAGCATTTGATGATCATTACATTATCTTAATCAGTCCTTATAATGGCCCTTCAAGATAGGTATTTTATTTTATTTTGGAGATGGAGTCATGAACTTGTCGCCCAGGCTGGAGTGCAGTGGTGCAGTCTCTGCTCACTGCAACCTCTGCCTTCCAGGTTCAAGTGATTCTCCTGCCTCAGCTTCCCAAGTAGCTGGGATTACAGGCACCTGCCCCCACGCCTGGCTAATTTTTGTATTTTTGGTAGAGACAGGGTTTCACCATGTTGGCCAGGCTGGTCTTGAACTCCTGACCTCAGGTGATCTGCCTGCCTAGCCTCCCAAAGTGCTAGAATTACAGGCAAGATAGGTATTTTAAATTGTAATTTTACAGATGGCAAAGTAGCCACAGAAAAGTAAAGCTACTTTTTCAAACTCACAAAGTCAAATGTTTGGCCTAGTTCTGTCAGACTGTAAAGCCCATGCTTTTAATTGTTATCTAATACTGCTTTCCTATCGGTAGACTATCAGATTATTCCTAAAGATATTTAAAAGAATGAGCACTCCAGGGTTGGAGTTCAAAATATTAATAGAATTATATTGATAGGATGTATGTGATCACTTTGCTAATGAGAGACACTCTGGATGCTGTGTTTGCTGGTCATTTCAAAGGCTAAAGAGAAAGAGGCATGCCTGTCCTTGCCAAACACATCGTTTCCACTGTGATTCTGTCACTGTGGAAGTACTTGTGTTTTCTGAACTGGGAGCAATGGTATTGTGGTTATTGGCATTTTTTTTATCCTTCTTCCTAGAAATTATGCAGATATCCCCAATGATATCTTGATGCATGCCTTAGGTTCCAAATTTTGTTGCCTCGAATTGACTGAGTGCTCTTTTCAGTTCCCTGCATCAGAGGAGATGTGTGCAGTTGTGCTTCCCAGTCTTCAGCATTTATGGTTTCATGTTTGTGAAGTTTGTTTGAAATATAAGAAGGATAATCTTAATTCTAGTACTGATTATTTCTTTCATTCTGTAGCTACTTGTCACATCATCTTTCTTTTGAAACTTTTAGGGAATTAATAAATTAATAATTATGAAATTCTTTTTCCATTCACATATCTCACTGGCTTTATTCAGAATTAATTTTTTTTTGTCCCTGTGTACTACATCCTTCTATTAATTAACTGACAGTTGTATTTCTCCTCTATGTTTTTGGTGCTTTTTTTTTCTCTTACTGTTTAAAACTTTTTCAGAAGATGTAGCTAGTGACTCAGGTGCTAGCTTTGCTTCAGACTTCATAAAGCTAGAGACAGAGTTAAATGAACTAGGAACTTGATAACCAAGATCTTTCTCTAGAATTTATATATTTCCCTCTGCTTTTAAAGAAGGAGGAAGAACATTATGTGGAAGCAAATAGCAGAGATTTAGCCCAAAATTTAAAAATAGAAAGCAAGCATCTTCAGGATTTCTCAATAAACATTTAACACATAAGAAATTATGAAGATTTTTACCTTTAAATCTCATCTCTGTGTTATTGTAATATCCTTTTCAGACTATCACAGTCTGATCTTTCTTAAACAGATCTAATCTTGTTCTTTTGTGTCTCAAAATTTTCACTGGGTCTTTATTTTCCATAGTGTTACCTAATTCCTGACATGCTTCATCCTCCTTAGACTTGTACACTCCATACACTCCATGAGAACAGGTACCTTTCCTTTTTTTTTTTTTTTTTTGAGAGACGAAGTTTTGCTCTTGTTGCTCAGGCTGGAGTGCAATGGCACTATCTTGGCTCACCACAACCTCTGCCTCCTGGGTTCAAGCAATTCTCCTGCCTCAGCCTCCTGAGTAGCTGACATTACAGGTGTGTGCCACCATGTCCAGCTGACTTTGTATTTTTAGTAGAGATGGGGATTCTCCATGTTGGTCAGACTGGTCTCAGACTCCCGACCTCAGGTGATCTGGCTGCCTCGACCTCCCAAAGTGGGTACTCTGCCTATTTTATTCACCATTCTCTTTTCCATACCTATATTGCTGCCTCTAACAGCTACTTATTCCGTTAATACCATGGGCCAGGGCTCCCCAAAAGGTGTCCCTCTCGTCAGTTACAAGTATGTTGAGAGTTACTGGTTGGTGCCTTCCAACTTTGGGATGGCAAGTTGGGGCTTGGCTCATGGTCCAGGGCAGCATTGAGAGTAATTGGAGTCAAGATCTCTGCGTGATGATGATGATGTGCTGATCACAGGCAACAGGATGCTCTGCAGCCTGGTATTCTACTTCGTTAGCCTACTTCAGAGTGTACCACTGCCCATGTTGGATGAGGGCCCATGGAACCACTGGAGAGTTTGTGTTCCAGGAAGCTGAGGAACCAGCTACTAGTGCTGGTGCCACTATTAATAATACTAGTCAGAAGTGGGGGCCGGAAACAGCAGAGGCCCAACAGTGGTTTTCAACTATAGATAGAAGTCCCAACTCTGTCTTCACATACGTCAGATACATTTGGTATATATATATGGCTCATGTTCTCATTTAGTGGCATTCAAGTGAGCTATAGGCGAACCATTCTAACATTGTATGTTCATCTGCAGATTATTTTTAAATCATTTAATACTGACCTGAACTTGATATGAAAATGTTCAAATGGCTTTGAAACCTATTCGTGTTTTCCCAAGAACTTTCGTCATTACTTGCCAATGAAAAAAACAAGAGAGTTTAGGTTGAGTTTGGTGGCTCATGCCTGTAATCCCAGCACTTTGGAAGGTCAAGGTGAGAGGATCACCTTAGCCAGTATTTTGAGACCAGCCTGGGCAATATAGTAGACCCCGTCTCAAAAAAAAAAAGAAAAGAGCTTAATTTTAACTAATGTAACTGCTTAACTAAAATAAATGATTCTTTACTTGAGCAAATAAGTTTGGTTATGACTTACTTTACACAAGAAATAGTTTATTTAATTTTTTATTATTTATTTTATTATTTTTTTCTGTGAAGATTTTAATTTTTAATGCCAGTATATTTTAAAATTTATTGAAGGAAATAAATTTAAAATACATTTTAATTTTATTGTTTATAGAAACTCTGGGTTATATTGTAAAATGAAAAACATAATTAAAGGCAGATTTATCTTTTGTAACTTTAGATTTTTAAGATTTTAACTGAAAAGTGAAAACAAAGGTAGTTTTTCTGATTGTCACAGTATTATTACTGTAGTTGGGTCCAGTTAGCCCATTTGCTTTGAATAAAGCTAATGTTACTGATCCCCACCCCAACACGCCATATTAGTTAATGCCATGTTAAATATAACTGAAGAACTCATTTCTACTCACAGAGTATGCCCCTCATGGTCAGCAGGTTATTCAGATACAGACTTTCGGTGGAAGGTTTTCAGAAAAAGTGTGACTACATATCTATAAATGCTTTTAACATCTGCACATTGAATTATTGTTTCAAATGTTTTTATACTCACATAATTTTATTTAATATTCACCACCATTCTGTGAGAGCTTTATTCTTTTATGTTATAGGGTTTTCTTATTTTACAAATTGGGAAACTGGTGTAGAGTAGTTAAATGACTTAAGATTACATAGCTAGTTATAAGTGGAAGGATGAGAATTTGAAGGAACAGGTGTGCCCTCTTCCAGGAAACCGTATAAATAATCAGACTTTATGAAGGATAAATTGGTAAGGAGAGTCATTTATTTCTCTTGTCTGTAAAGAGGATTCTTTTTCTCAAGTAGAGCATGAAGTAGATTATTTACTAGAAAAGCTTGAAAATGCTTTTCTGAAAAGCATTTCAGAAAATTAAAACTGCTTTGAAATTAGGCGCATAATAAGAATTGTTTCAGGGCCTGGCGTCCATTGGGCATTATACACATATTCTTTGTGTCAGTAAGGTTTACAGTTAAGGTCTCTTAAATCCTTATTTGCTGAAATCTCTTTTTGCTTATATATTGAGACTGAAGTTAGCAATTTTCCTCCAGGTGTGGACTTTGAAAATAAAATCTACTTATTGAAATGTAGGTTGCATTATGGTGATGCATTTATATAGTACTGCCCTCCAGGATTCTTGGAAACCTAAGTGTATTATTGTATATATGAATCATGGAATGCACTCTAGAATCTATACTGTTTATCAGTTTTGTTTGGGGTGTAGTTCATGGTATTTACTTAAGTCTCTAAAGCAGAGTTTAGGATCTCTGCATTTCAGTTTCCTGAGTGCTGTGGGGCTACAGACCCACTCAGATTCTCTTGTTCTAAGTGGTCTTAACACTCAGTTAGCTCTGTGTGTTGGTGGTGACAAATTTTACTGTATTTATGACCTAGGTCTTTCAGTGGACACAGTTTCAAGAATCCAAGAAGGTACTGGCTACTATTCAACTTACTCTCAGTTTCAATTATGGTCAGAAAATTTTGAAAACAAAAATTCTAAATGTCCCATAAGTTTGAAGCATTCCTATTCAGAGTGTTTACCTACATGATAAACTAAAGTATCCATCATTCATGCATTCCAGAATTTTAATGTTACCTTCACCCTCCACTCAAAATGCAATATGCCTTTAGTCCATAATAGCACCACTTCATCTTAAGTGAATAGTTGTTTCAGCTTTGATATATAACCACAAGGTAAATTATCCTTGTTTGCGTAGGACTGTCCTGGTTTTTAAATTCGGAATCTCTTGTCCAAGGAACCGTCTCAGTCCTGCATAAACCAGAACAGTTTCTTAAAATACTATTGAGGACAATTGGTCAACCTAATGGCAAGGCTGTGTTGTTAATTAGGCTTTACGCATGTTATTGAGACTATAGATGAAAGCCCGTATCAATGGTTTTGAAGATTCTGCATGTGTCAGGATTACCTGGAGTACGTGTTAAACAGACTGCTGGCTCCCATCCCCCTGGTTTTGATCCAGTAGGTCTGAGGTAGGAGTCTGAGAATTGCTTTAGTAACAGTTGCCTTAGCCATGCTGATGCCTTTGGTTTGGAGTGCATTGAGAACCACTGGCCTAGATCAAGCCGTGCGTGTACTGTGTGAGTATATGGTGATGCTTGGTTCAGGATTATGGAGAAGGGGATCTGTGTTTCTCTGCCTCACAGACCTAAGCACCCACAACACCAAAGGGTATTTTGTGTGTCTGAACTGTGGTCATACAGCAGAAAAAAATATATGTTCCTGTTAGAGGTGACAGAAGTAGGAGAAGGGTTAAAAACAGTCTAGCTGCTACATCCTTTATGGGATGGATATATTTTGATAGGTTATAGTATCTTAGGCACACTTTCACTTGACAATTTATTTGAGTCTTGTAGTCACAATATCTGACGAAATCAGAGAGGACACAAACAGATGGAGAAACATTCCATGTTCATGGTTAGGAAGAATTAATATCGTGAAAATGGCTATACTGCCCAAAGTAATTTACAGAATCAATGCTATCCCCATCAAGCTACCATTGACTTTCTTCACAGAACTGGAAAAAACTACCATGAACTTCATATGGAACCAAAAGAGAGCCCACATAGCCAAATCAATTCTAAGCAAAAAGAACACAGCGGGGGGCATCACACTACCAGATTTCAAACTATACTACAAGGCTACAGTAATCAAAACAGCATGGCACTGGTACCAAAACAGAGATATAGACCAGTGGAACAAAATAGAGGCACCGGAGGAAACACAACATATCTACAACTATACAATCTTTGATAAACCTGACAAAAACAAGCAATGGGGAAAGGATTCCCTGTTTAACAAATGGTGTTGGGAAAACGGGCTAGCCATGTGCAGAAAGCAGAAACTGGACCCCTTCCTGACACCTTACACTAAAATTAACTCCAGATGGATTAAAGACTTAAACATAAGACCTGGCACCATAAAAACCCTAGAAGGAAATCTAGGCAAAACTATCCAGGACATAGGAGTAGGCAAGGACTTCATGAACAAAACACCAAAAGCATTGGCAACAAAAGCGAAAATAGACAAATGGGACCTAATCAAACTCCACAGCTTCTGCACGGCAAAAGAAACAGTCACTAGAGTGAATCGGCAACCAACAGAATGGGAAAAAATTTTGCAGTTTACCCATCTGACAAAGGGCTGATATCCAGAATTTACAAAGAACTCAAACAGATTTACAAGAAAAAAACAAGCCCATTCAAAAGAGGGCAAAGGATATGAACCGACACTTTACGAAAGAAGACATATATGAGGCCAACAATCAAATGAAAAAATGCTCATCGTCACTTGTCATCAGAGAGATGCAAATCAAAACCACATTGAGATACCATCTCACGCCAGTTAGAATGGCGATCATTAAAAAATCTGGACACAATATGTGAAATGGATACTTCAGAGAGCAGATATTCATTCTTACTGCAGAACTGATAATAGCTGTGTTTAGCAGGGATAATGGTACCTACCCATCTTGGCTACTTCTCAGTTATTGTCATAAAAATCCAATTACATAAAAGGTGTGAACATGCTGTACAGGTAAGATGTCACAGTGATGATTAAAGTGTACTTTGCTATTGGGCAGTACATTTCACACTGCTTTCGTCTTCATGTTGCATTTCATTGTTTTCAGGTGTCTTCAGAATTCAGGCAAGTAGTTGGGGCTGCAGGTGTTACCATTCTCTGTGACTTCTGTCACGGTCTTACAGACTTCACTTTGCCAGGCTTAGATGTCTTCAGAGGTAGTCACCAGGTACTTGGTTGTTCCTAGACAGTGGCTCGTAGACCTAATGGCTTTCTGTGGTTGAGCCTGCCTGATCAGAATTTGGTATGTTTTCCCTCTGATTTAAAATTGTTTTGCCTAAGCCTCATTTTGTGTGTAAAGAAAACAAAGGCAAAAGAATAAGTGCTGTGCTCATAATCCACAGCCAGCTGGTAGTCACCAGACTGTGGGACTCTGAGTCTGGTCTCCTAGTCTCAACCTTCTAGGCAGTGAGCATTGTTAATCACAGAACAGGCTGTCCTCAGATTCCTCGGCTTGCTCATCTCTGTTTCTCCCAGGGCCTAGTGTTCAAACACACATACATACTACATATGTTTCTGTGTGTGTGTGTGTGTGTGTGTGCATGCATGTGCATGTGCATGATAGGGAAACCAGAATTTGTTCTCAGCTCCTTACCCATGTGAGCTTCGCCAAATCGTTTCTCCAATCTGTACCTTCTTTTTCATGTGTAATATAGAATTATCATCTGCCTAGCTTCTAGCCTTAAAAGTAGTTACTGCATAAGGATGAGAAAATGTATAAAAGCACTTTGAAGCTTTTGTTACAAAGGGCAGTTAATAATACTGAGTAAATAATAAATAAGCCTCATAGAACAGGAAGCATTTTCATCTTTCTGTCCTAATCACCTTTCTTTATAAAGTAAGCTATTTTGTAAATCATTCAAGTGGATTGAGTTGATTAATTTAGATAATGTTTTATTTTTCCTTTTTGTCTCTGTTTATTTAACATTGCATATATAGAGAATGGTAATTATTATTGAATGGATTGAAAACAAGAATAGAGTCTCTTTGGGAGTGCCTGTTTTTTTCCCTTGCAATTGGCGGCGTTTTCTGCTCCATGGTCAGTTTTCAGTGCTTTGTGAGTTCTTGCCTTCTGTCAAGTGTTTTCTCCCTGTCATCACAGTGCTACTGCTCTTTGTATTTACCTTCCCAGCTGCCCTGCCTTATTTCAAAGTTCAGAGTCAAATTGTAGGCAGCCATTTCTGAGCGAGTTCCTAGACACTGCTGAATTTCAACTAATTAATAGATTGCTTTTAAGGGATGCAAAATCTAGGCCAGTTCAGAATTTTACTTCATTTGAGGGTTTTTTTTTTTCCAGAATATTTATCTTAAGTTACAAAATGTTGCTTCCCGTCAATTGTTTTCTTGTGTATTCTGGTAAAATTTTACAAACCCAGTAAAACTCTCTTACAACAATGCTGTTGAGGGATAACAGCTTGTATTCATTATGGATTGTTCACACAGGAAGAGATGTATTTAGGTATGTAACTTGTTTTCAACATTGTACTTGAGACATCTGTGGTAGGATAGAATCTGTGGCAAATGTGGCATGGTTTATGTTGTGCATGGATATTCATAAACTGCCTTTGATGGATGGATTGGCAAACATTGCCAGTCACTGAACCATAGCACTATCGCAGTCAGCGGCTCAGCGATCATTTGTTGTCTGTATAGCAGATTGTATGTATGCATGTGTATTTTGCCTCTTTTTATAAAAATGTGTTAAAGGTAAAATGCTAATGCTAATAATCAGAAAATTGACCTTCAAATATGTAATATATTTTTGACAAAGATGGAAATCATAAAGCATGCCGAAAATGGTAACCCTTAGCTTCAGCTATCCCCTTACTAAATTTGACCTTTTTACTCTGTGTTATTATAGTGAAAGATTGTATCTAGAAGATATTTTGTAATGATAGAAGGTATTTTATAAATAGGGTTTCCTGTGACATGTACTTAATTATTCAACTTCTGTACGTATAATTTTCATGTTTATTCAAGAATATATTATACAAAGTCACAGCATTTGACAGTTCCTTCATAACTCTGAAGGTTCTATGTATTTGCGTGAATTAAATACAGTGGCTCTGATAAAAATGTCTTTAGATTAATCTTAAAAAAATAAACTAAGCACAGGAAGGTAAATTAAAGGGGAAATTTGGAGACTTGTAGTAACTGGTTCATTGCAGCTTAATGTGCAGCATCCTCATTAGTCAAGTATCATGTGCCTACCTGGGCATGAAATAGCTGTTTTTTTTCCTAATTTAAATCTGGAAAGTTTCAATTGTAGAACAGTTTGAATAGTTGTTGTAAATAGCCACTGGACTTTTTAAAAAAGTATTTGTCTTCAAAAACAATGAAGGTCATCTTGTATCCATAGAGACCACATGCACTTTCCTTATTATTTACAACATTATTTATATAATGGGTGGAGTTATTTACGTTAAAAAATATTTCAGAGATCAACCATTAAGTATTATCACAGGGTAAATATCAGCAACTGAAATCCTTTTCTCCATAGTTTCTCAAAAAATTGGTATTAGGAAATTAGTAGCCTTTCAGAATTTGTATGTTGGTTTTTTTCAGTAGTTATTCTGTAGAGTGTGTGTGTACATATGCATGTTCATGTATGTATGTATGTTCATTTCTTATAAATCACTGTGACTTAATTGTGGACTTTTTAAATAGTTTTTTCTTTCCTAAAAGAAAGTTACTTTACGTGTTTATTTTATTTTTATGTTTTTGAGACAGGGTGTCACTCTGTTACCCAGGCTGCAGTGCAGTGGCACGATCTCAGCTCACTGCAGCCTCTGCCTCCCAGGCTTAGGGATCCTCTTACCTCAGCCTTCCGAATAGCCGAGACCACAGGCTTATACCACCACACCCAGCTAATTTTTTCATATTTTTTTAGAGATGGGGTTTTGCCATGTTGCAGAAGGCTGGTCTTGAACTCCTGGACTCAAGCAATCCCCCATCCACCTGCCTCAGCCTCCCAAAGTGCTGGGATTATGCCACTGTGCCTGGGAATTTTACATATTTTAAATTAAAGCAAATCTTGGTTTTTTATGAAGTGCTGATTTACTTATATTTCACTTAGTCTTCCTTTCTTTCAGAAAAGTTGTGTGGAAACAAAATGGTTTTAGTATATTGCTTTATAAACAAATTCAGGGTCATGAGCTCTTTTTATTATCCTCTTTGCTTTGCTCATTTCCATGAACTGTACATCTCTAACCTAAATCAGCTGGGGATAGGGGAAGAAAGTGTTAGATTCTTACTCAGTTTAGATCTGCTGCCAGGAAAACCCACTGTGTCCATTGTCATCTAAATTAACACTTTTTTAAATAAAAGGAGTCACTTTTAGCAGTAATGTCAGGGCAACAGGCATACATTAGATGTATGGTCATTCTTACCATTAGGGTTATCATTCTATTGTGTTGTTTATTATTTTGAAACTCTAGGGAGAGAAAAACTCATTTTTTCATATGTTAGAAAAATGTATCCTCATGTAGAATATCAAGGTAATATCTTTAATGTTTCTTATTTACCAATATAAATTTGTAATGCATATTTTCTTTTTAAATTAGATTATTTAGGAGAAATTACACTTGATGAATCACTTACTCTCTTTTTAATTAGTAACGTTAACTTTATCATTTTTGTTTCAAGATATCACAGCTGTTGTTCAGCACTAGAAATTATATAAATTATTAGCCAAAGATTTGGCTACATTTATGTGTGTTCCTTCTGTTAATTTCTTGTTCAGAAAGTCTGTTGTTGTAAACATCCCCGACTGGAAGCTGTAAGATTCAACTAAGCTTTCAGTCAGATGTTTGCTGCTACCGGCTATTCACAGACATCCTCTTGATATAATTCTATCCCGGAGTGGAGTTGAGGGGGCTATAAAACGTGTGGGAAAACCTCAGAAATCTTTAGCTGTCTTCTTTTACAGCACTGACAGTGCACGTATTATGAAAGTTGAATGTAGGGTGCTCTCCTAATAACAGGATACACCATCTCAGCTTCCCAGACTTATCGTGCTGCTGCTGGGCCTTAGAGAATTTAGTTAAATAAAAATTGTCCCCACTTATTCCTGTTTCTTCCCTGTCAATGAAACTGTATTCTTTATAACCTTTCCAAGTAGGCTGGAGTTTAACTTCCCAAGAGTTCGGGAGACTGATTTTCTCCATTATGAATTCCGTAGAAGTTCGGGAGAATAATTTAATCACTACCACCCAGCAGTATGCAATCTAGAAATTTCACCTTTCCCTGTACTTAAGAGATGTGTGTGCAACATTTTTCTTGCTCCTCTTAGCCCCCCACTTCCTGTTCTCCTCACCCTGAGTGATGTCACAATTCCTAATCAGAACTCTCCTCTAAGAAAAACTGCAAGACGTCAAGCCACTAAGCCTGTTTACATTTGCTGATGGTTATGCATGTTTTTTAGATTAATGTATTTTCCTAAGTGTTTTCAGATTGTTGCTTTCAGATTTATTGCTTCCTCCTTAAAATATAGCTGCCCTGTAATCAGCTGCATTGTGTCTCCTTTTTGTGTTTCCCCACAGATCGAAATACTCCAGGGCTTTTCTCATAGATGGCATTCAGGGTGGACTAATTGATAAAGTATAATTTTATGACAGCTGTTTTCTGAGTTTTAAAGATTTGTTTTTTTATTTCTGTTTGTCTTTTAGATGCTGGAAGACATTTCTATTTTATTGACATTTTTCTTACTGGCATTTTTCTTTTCAATAAAGCATTTTTTAAAAATCACTTATTATTATTAAACTGTTAGACATCATACTAAGGTTCAGTACATAATTAACCCAAAAGATAAAGGTCTTGCCGATCTAATTTTTTGCATGCTTATTTTCTTTGATTAGATTATAAGCTTTCCGAGGACAGACACATTAACTCTTGGTAATTCTATATTTTTCTGTCATAAACATCAGGTAAAGCACCTTGCATGTATAGTACTTTAGTAATGATATTTGTATTATCTTATTGCAGCAGTGTTCACTGTTTCCTTTTATCTTTTATCCAGATGACCAAATGACAGTTTTGGTCATAATGTGGTTACCCCAGATGTATTTGTGGTACAATATTTGTTCTTTAAATGCTCCTTTGTTAGAGTGGTAGTATACAAGACTTATTTGGGGATGGGGGATAGTTGCTTCAGACTCAGGTAGCTTTCCAACTTGTAAATATAATTTTCAGACTTGATGATTAGCATGCATCAAGCATCCATTCCTATGAACCCTTAATAAAGTAGATTTGTTGTGTATTCTGTGGCCCTCGGTTTTAGCACATTGGAAACCTTAGACTCAAATAGCAGTGAATGGATGGAGTTTTTACTAAGAGCTCAGAAGTGTTCCCTGCCAAAGGTAGAATGTAATGTGTTTTCTAATAATAGGATTATTTTGTTTGACCAGGTGACACTGTTTATTTCTTATGAAAAATTTTGATATATAGCTTTAAAATTTAGTAAGACGGATAGAAACTGCATAATTTAATAATTTTATACAGTGAAATTTGAAAGGTTTTTCAAAATGGTAAGGCCAAACCTAAGCTAAAAGAGGGGGTAGACATTCTTTTTAATAAAGCTGTTATATTCTGCCCAGCTAGGCCAGTTATCCCTAGATGCTGCAGGATTAATGGGGCAATCTGTGTTATGTAACATTTGTTCTATATTATTCTGCCCTAATGAGGTGAATCAAAGACCATGTCAGCTTTAATTCTGGATGCCCTTGCTTCAGTGTAGTAAAATACGTAAGTACAACCTTTTTAAATAGTTTTCAAATGACTTCTTTATGTTTTTAAGTTGAAAAACCACTAACTTCCCATTGGCCTATCAGGTTAGCAATTGATTATTTATAGCAAATGCCTTGAAATGTTAGATCGATCAGTATTTGTCAGTAAACCTGTAATAACTTGTTTCCTTAGCCTTTAGTATTTAGGAAAAAATTGTGATATTCATTGATAGGGCTTAGAAAGCTCAGAAATTATTTATTATTTGAGATTTGTTGAACCTATTGGTAAAACGTTTTCAGTTACTGAACACCATGCTGCAAATGACAGTATTTTATCCTTAGTATATGGTCTGAAATCACTTAGGGAGAACTTCTTTTTAAGCAAATAACTAACTACAAAATTAGGTCTTCAAATTTATTATAAATTAAATGCTTTTGTACAAATATTCTTGGTTAGAAAATAGTCATATAAATACACAGTTGGACATGTTCTCATTGGTCTCCACGCCTCGGTTCCTTCTACATGAGTCATGGGCTTGACATTACCCAGAAGTGGACTGTGAACCTATAAACCCTAGCATGCATAGAGCATGTTCTGACTTTGATCCTTTCTACTCTTGTTAGAGCTTTATTCATTGGATGAATGTGCATTATTTGCTATGTGTGCTTAGGAAATATTTTTTGTTTCTTTTGTAAGTTTGCCTATCAGGTTGGGCTTGGTTACTTTTTAAAATTGCGCTGTTTGAGATAGTCTCTGCCAAACTCTACCTGACCTGGTTAATTGTGGTTGGAACCATGCTACATATTTTGACATTGCCTTTTGCTTATCCATAGCATATTACAAACGTTCTAATAATTTGACATTCCCTGCTGTATTTGCTTTGGCTTTTCAACAAATTTGATGAAACAGTCCATTGCTTTTCAATATCAGCTTGCACCGAATTACTTGGAGGGCTTATTGTTTAAAACACAGATTGCTGGGCCCTACAAAAAAAAAAGTTTCTGATTTAGTAGGTCTGGGGTGGAACTTGAGAATGTGCTTTTTTCCCCACAGTTCCCAAGTACTGCTGATGGTGCTCCTCTAGGCCCATGCTTTCAGAATCACAGAGCTCATCTTACATTCTTTTCCTGTTAGATATTATGCTCAATTAATACATGAAGTAAAACAGAGGAAAATCCTTAACTTAAAAACATGTCATAATCCAGAAGTTGGATTATAAAAAAAGTTTGTTGGAAACGTCAGACCATTTTTTATCCCAAAGAAAAAATATATTAACTTTGTAGCTAGGAGGGGCCTATTTGAGTGTGTTTTCAGAGAAAAGCAGAAGAAAAAAATATGGTTGTAGTAGTAGTTAAAACAGAAAAGAAATATGCTTGTAGATGGGGGGGATGGTATATGTGTATTTAATTTTGAGAACCAAAGCTTCTGGAAAACACCCCGAAGGGGACAAGAGGCCAGGTAGAGACATAGGAGGTTCCTGAAAGTCCTGGGATGCCTCTGAAATTCCAAAGATTTTTAAAGTTTGCTGTCAGTGGTTATTATATGTAATTTTACTTACAGATTTGAAGATTTCCTCTTCTTTGACGTAAGTGTATTGGTAGGACCACTGGTAATAGTTAGTAGAGATGTTTGTGGTAATGTATTTTTAATCAGAAAGAATGCAGAAAGAGGGGGAGATGTTTCTTTGAGACACCTTAATGACAATGGGAACAGTAGAAGGTGGGAAGAGCTCAAAGTGTGGGAAAGATGTGCTTGAGATGAAATGATCTGAATTCTGAATGTGGGGGAAAAGATGAGGGAGAGGACTGAGGGGGAGGAGAGATGACTAAGCTCCTCACAGTGTTTCATTAACTGTCTTTTACCTAAAGCAGGAATCTTAATGAAGATGGGTGGATGCATCATACTGGTCATCAAGTAAGTTCTTATAAATGCAAGTTCGATTGTTTTGAAGGGAAGGATATAGGAAGGGTGGACAATTGCTGCATTTAGATATGGAATGCTACAGGATGTCTGCATTTATTGTTGTAAATTCCTTTGGTGAAAAGAGTATTACTTCTTTGTGATTAGCGTGGGCAATATCTTGAGATCCTGTCTCCAAAAAAATTTTTTTTAATAAGAAAAATTAGCCAGCCATAGTAGCGTGCCTGTAGTGCCCCCCCACACCCCAGACAGTCCCCCTCAACCAAAAAAAACACCCAGTTTACTTCTGTCTTTTCCTTGGATTATACACTTTCTCTCAGGGTATCTTTCTGGTTGACTCTTGCCTCATTTATGTGAATGCTGTACCTGTTCTTTTTTTCAACAGTCTTTGGTAAAGGACCATGTAAACTTGGTAAAGAGTTTAAGTCCTGCTTTAAACCGAGTTTCAGTTCATGTAAACATCCTACACTCAGCTGTAATACATGGATTGGCTGAGAGGTGGATGTTTACTTCAGCTGACTTGGAATATCAACCAATTAACATTGATAAAATATTTGGCAAGAATAGTGTACAGAGGCCTAAATTTTTAATGTAATTAAAGGTTTGTTGGAAATGTGAGACCATTTTTTCTTCCAGAGAAAAAGTGAATTAATAGTCTAGCTGGCAAGGATCTACTTGAAAATGTTTTCAGAGAAAAGCAGAAGAAAGTATGGTTGCACTGAGAGTAGTTAAAACAGAAAAACAGTATGTTTGTAGAGGAAAAATTTAACCTAAATTTATTTAAAATGTATTAAAATCACTTTAAATTTGTTAATTTAAATTTTTATTGTATCTTTTCAGTTTTGTTATTATACCACTAACATGACAAGCTCTGGATATTGGGACAAAAGGCCCTTCTTTGGTAGTTGGGGTCAGATTTGTAGGTATTGCAGTGTGTTTTAACAAGCATGGGCTTTGACATCAGACATGTGTTGCTGTCTGGACTCCACAAATGAATTTGCTGTGGGATTTGGAGGAGTGACAGGCAGTGTTTCCATACCTCGGTGGTTTTCTCATCTGCAAAATAGGTATGGTGGTTGCATGGATTGACTTATATGGTGAATATAAAGTAGGGTTCATTTGTATAGTATTTGTCATATTAAGAACTCAATAAATGCTATTATTAATGCTAACTATGTTTTAAGTGTTCAATAAATAGTTTCTGTAATACTTAAAGCAGACATAACTTGTGTTTATTTTAGCAGTAAAGATGATGCCAACTTTTTGGTTTAATGGAAATGCTTTGAATCTTTGATATTATTGTAACATAGTGGCAAAGAAATATGAAGCCTAGCTTCTGGAGCTCATGTGCTGATTCTGCCAGTTACTTAGCTGTGTTACTTTGGGTGAAATTATTAATCTCTCTGTGCCTCATTGTCCTCAGTCCACTAAATTGGATATATAATGATACCTACCTGATAGGATTGTTGAGACTAAAGGAGTTAATTTAAAAATAAGCTAATACCTGATATAAGTATTGTTTGGTCTAAATGTTATTTCCATTTTCATGCCTTTATTTAAAATACTGAAAATTAATTTTTTATAGCTTTGTTTTTCAGTTCCATGAAATGAATCTGCCTTTTCATTTTTTGGTGATGTATCCACATTCTGTATAGGTAAAAAGCAAAACAAACAAGCATAAAAGGAAAATTATGTAAGAAGTACACATCCCAGCAGCTTGGCAAGTGTCTGTATGCTCTTGCCTGTGCTTAAATCCAGAATTAGAATTCATGTTTGGTGCTCCAATGGAAGATGTCTAAATATTATGAGAAATGCGTGATTAAATAAAAATGTGAAATGAAAACATGGAGCATTATTGTTGAAGGTGAGTGCTGTTTTTCTAAATATGTACTTTATTTGTTTAATAAATAATTTGTTATTTTCCTTGTTACTAAGAGGGAGCTATTTTATTCTGTACTTAGGTGCAAAGCATGCTACATTTCAGTGAGCTCCACATGTTAGTTTGAAACTTGCCAAATGCTTACATTATTTTATAATTTATAGTACTTGAAGAAACATGTTGCAATGCAGTACAGAGCATATAATCTAAAGGCAGTTTCATGAAGTGTTTTTCTCCCAATTTAAGCATATTTGGAAATTGCCCATCAATTTGTTTTTGAACCTCAGTGTGTAAAACAGGGAATTTTTCTTTTATATGCTCAGATGTGAAAAATAGCATATGCATGTGGTTTAGGCTACAAAATGGCCTGTAGGTTAAATTTCTAATTCTATTATTTAATGCATTGCCTTTTTCCTTCTGGTTTAGTGGCCATATGTTTATATCTTTAGGTTACATACATTCCTGATTATATAATAAGGTCTTTGATCATGTGGGCTATCAGCTTTGCCTCACTTTGTCTCAGAAGAAGGTATACATGAAACTATAGTTGTACTTAAGTAAAACTTTGAATATTTTTCTGGTTTGAATTAATGCAATGAAACATTCTAGTTGCAGTTAGCTGTCTCCCACCCTTACAGGAAGGTACATGCCTCCATTTTTTAAAACACTGTATATTAGAATTGTTACAGAATTCTAGTAAACATTCTGGTCACATATTTTCTGATTAATATGTGCTTAGTGTTAAATATTATGAAATCTGGATATATGTTAAAATATCTCAGTTTCCCCCCTTGTTTACCATATTGCCGTTTATTATTAATGGAGAACATAATGTAAAATTGAATGTCTTTGATAATTTGGAGATGTGTTCTGAAATTAAACTTGAACTATTTTCTGTGAATTTAAGATTTGGTATCTTATAATTATTTGGTGAGCCTTTGGCATGAATATTTAGCTTATCCCCTGTTTCACGATTTCTTTCTCTTCTCATTAGTTTCCAATAGGAGAATGTTACCGTTTAGACTTCAGTAATTGAAAAATGTCAGTTAAGATATGGGGGTAATTTGTGATAAGTAATAGAGTTTATCTTTTAGTTATATTCATTTCAGGTTTTTTAAATGATTTTTTAAGGTAAATGTCAAAGTATTAGTGCAAAATATTATGCAATATTATAATAAGCAACTAACCTCTTCTATGATAATGCCTTAATATTGAGAGGGTTTTTATTCTTGTTTTAAATTCCGGGTTAAAATGTAAAGGTCTTTTTATTTTTTTAATTTTAATTATTCACAAAGTTACCAGTGCATTATAAAACCAACAACAATTTCACATTTAGAATGTTTACGTGTATATAAATTAGGATTTTTTTTTTTTTTTTTTTTGAGACGGAGTTTCGCTCTTGTTACCCAGGCTGGAGTGCAATGGCGCGATCTCGGCTCACCGCCCCCTCCGCCCCCTGGGTTCAGGCAATTCTCCTGCCTCAGCCTCCTGAGTAGCTGGGATTACAGGCACCCGCCACCATGCCCAGCTAATTTTTTGTAATTTTTAGTAGAGACGGGGTTTCACCATGTTGACCAGGATGGTCTCGATCTGCCGACCTCGTGATCCACCCGCCTCGGCCTCCCAAAGTGCTGGGATTACAGGCTTGAACCACCGCGCCCGGCCAGGATTTTTTTTTTTTTTTTTTTATTTGCCTGAACTTCCTTTAACTTTTATGGAAAAGAACTAGTCCCAAGGGTATTTTTACTATTTAATACACATTATTCCTGTGATTCAAAATAGCAGTAGAACCTGTTGAGCTACTTGGGACTATCCAGGTGCAGTTATAACTGGTTTTAAAGTTGTGACCTTTTCCTTGATTGTTTCAAAATCATTCCTTAAAATATGTTTAGTATTTTTTCTTTTGTCTAAAAATATTTAAAAACAGGATTTGTGGGTTGTTTTGTTTTTTAGAATTAGTTTGAGAAAGTTCCTTTGCCACTTGTTTTCTGTGCAAATGTTGTAAGAACTCAAATTCCCTGGGGATAGGGAGGACTTTTATAAGGTTTTTTTTGGTTGAAAGGTATAAAAGGTACTTAAAAGTGTTTAGTTGCCTTTATTTAGGTAACCCAACCATTTTGACATTATGATAAGCTTTCCCCACTTTATAGGTTATCTGAAAATTTAGTGGGGCGCAAGTATCTTATTTATATTTAATATCACTTAAAATTATTTCCTATGTATGTTATAAAGTCTTCAAATCAGTATCTCTATTAAATGCAGTGACCAAACTATGTCTTCAAAACTGATACAACGTCATGGTTAGATGTGCAGAAGACTATGTTACATAATAAATGAACCTTAAACATACAGAAATTAATATCAGATTAAGCTAAAACATTAAGCAAAGTTAATACAAGGTTGCATACATATATATATTTATTAATGATATGTGGAGAATCTTTGTGTTTCATAGTCACTAGATTAGAAGCAGTTGTCAAGAATGTCTGACTGCTATTCATCTTTGTTGCCAAAGTAAATTTCAAATGTTTTTTCATAATGGTTTTCTTTAGTCTCTCTATTAACCCATTATCATTACAAGTCTGTGAAGCGACACATGTCCTTTCTCATTCCTGGTGCTTCCTGAGGAGGCAGTTCAGTGCAGGGGAAGGAATATTATTAGAGATAAAGGAAAAACCAGAAGTGCTTTCTTCTACTCTCACATTCCACTCAACACAACACTTCTCTCACCAGATATGTGTGGTGATTTCTCTCCACCAACAACCAGCAGTTCTTTACTGCAGATTTTCCAGTGGATACCAGCCAGGTGTCCTCTAATTCAGTTCAATTCTGACATCATCTACTGGAAGATAGTGTCAGATCCCACACATGGAGGGCTCAGTCCTACAACACTATCCCTTACTTTGGATCTCTGTCACAAGCAGTTAGTAGTTTGTGATTCTGACCAACCGGCTAGAAATCGGGGGTCCCATGATCACCTCCTCAGGTGTGATTAATTCGCTAGAGCAGCTCCCAGAGTTCAGGGAAACACTTTATTGACATTTACCCGTTTATTATAAAGGATATTACAGAGGATGCAGATGAACTGCCAGAAAGACGAGAGTAGCACAGGACAAGATACTGAGAAGGGTCACGGAGCTTCTGTGCTTTCTCCAGGTGCACCACCCTCCAGGAATAGTCAGTTCATGTGTTCAGCTGTCTCGAAGCTCATTCAAACCCTGTCCTTCTGAGTTTCTGTGGAGGCTTCATTATGTTAGGGCTCAGAAACCAGTACCCCAAAACGTGGGACTTTGACATGCTGAATTAAAGAAGCAGCCTCAAGGCCTCTTGACCTTCTTCAACTCCCTTCACCCAAATTGTGTGTCTCCGAAAGCACTGTATGAGACTGTTTACCAAAGTTCCCTTATTTACCTAGAAACTGGACTCACAAAGAGGAACACAGTTGCCTGCGATTCCATCCCTGAAATTTCATTAACTAGAGAAGATTAAAACTCATATCACAGAGGAAGAGACTGAAAATTAAACACCATACCTGGAGCCCAGATGACCTATCCCAGTCTATTATCTGTTCCCAGTCTCATTTACAAATCATTGTCTGATCTTCAGGCCCATTTATTTATAGCTCCCCCACTTTCCCCAATGAAAGGATATTTAAGAGTCAGCCGTCTATCTGGCCCTTTCTTTGAGTTTTGAGTTTTCACATTTTGTATGACTCCTGTGCATACACATTCATGCAATCACTTTGTTAGACTTTTCCTTGTTAACTTTTTTTTCATTATAGGGGTATCTGCTATGGTTATATATGATGGGGAGTTTCTGCTCCTACAGTCTGTAGGCATAATTAATACACCATTGATCGCTGGTGATTAGCTCAATCTTCAAGCCCTATCCTGTCGCTGGAAGTTGGAGGATGGCACTGAAAGCTCCAACCTTATCATGCTTTGATCTTTCCAGTGACCAGACCCCACCCTACCCTGAAGCTATCCAGGGGTCCTCAGCAACATTCATTTCATTAACATGCAAATGACATTCTTACAATTTTAGAGATTACAAGGGCTTTAGGAAATCGACATGAAGAGCAAATATATATTTCACAGTATCACAAACATACCCTCAGAAATTAGACCTCTGATCTAATCTGGGCTCCCTCACTTGCCATCTTTGTGACGTTGAACAAGTTGTTCATCTTTTCTGGATAGTTCTCTGTTAAAAAAAAGATTTTTTTTTAATGGCTGCATAATGTTGTTATGAGGACTAGATAGCTATGTGATGGACCCTGCACATTGCTAGCAACAAAAGGTAAGTACTATTTCTATTTCTTTTGCTCCCAAACTTACGTGAGCTCCCTCAGTGTCTACCACCAAATCATATGATGTGTATCCTAGTCAATCTTAAAAGTTGTCCACCTTGAATCTTTAATTAACGTGTTTTTAAAACTGCATTATAAGAACGTTAGTGTTTTTATTTTGATCCTATGGAAGTTAGACTTTTTCATGCAAGCATTCAAACCTTTAGCTTCAAACAGAACAGATAAATAGTCTGTATGATTTCATTATAAAAAAATGATTAAGCATGTCTCAAGCAGCTCAGACAAGGCAGATAAAAGATTATCAAGGAGTAACATTAGAAAACACTAATCAAAGTGCCTAAAAAGCTTTATGCGATCCAGGTATTATGGGGATGTTGCAACAGTAAAACAAAATTTTGCAAGGTGTGAAGGGCTAGAGATAGGTAGGACAGAGCAGATTATGTTAGAGAAGTCTCTTCTAAAATTGTGTTGGATAGCCTGGGATTTGAACTTACGCCTTGTATGTGTGTCTATGTGTCACAGGCTGAACATGCAAGAAGCAGAGTTCAAAAAGGTGGTAAACTTCTTTTACTTGTTTCTCAGTCTTTTCAGATCATTGCTTAGAAAACTTTTAGGAAAAAGTGATGATACAACAGACAGGCCTTAAATAGAGGAATTGAGATATCTCTCTCTGTCTTTACTATGTAACCTTTAGCTAATTCCTTATGCATTCTGACCTCATGTTTCTTGTATGTAAATGAGAATGTTACATGCTTATAAATTCCTTTTCCTCTGTGACTACATCCAGTTTTATTTATATTATTGTGTGTTTGTGCACATCAGTAGAGCACAGTATTTAGTAGAATGAGTTCTTGGTTAAACCACCTGGATTCATTTGTAAAATGGGGCCACCTATCTCTTAAATTGTAATGAGGATTTGATTAGATAATCTAGATAATTCACTTAGCACAAGCGTCTCCAGCCCCTGGACTACTGACCAGTACTGGTCTGTGGCCTGTTGGGAGCTGGGCTGCACAGCAGGAGGTGAGCAAGGGAGCAAGCTAGCATTATGGCCCGAGCTCCACCTCCTGTCAGATCAATGGCAGCATCAGATACTCCGGAGCATGAACCCTGCTGTGAACTGTCCTCCTGAGGGATCTAGGTTTCACACTTCTTAGGAAAATCTAATTAATGCCTGATGAGCTGAGGTGGAACAGCTTCTTGTCAAAACCATCTCATGAAACTGATCCCTGCTGCCAAAATGGTTGGGGACCTCTGACTTAACACATTACCTGGCATATACTAAGCACTCAGAAAATACCCATTTCTCAAAACTCAGTGCCAGTGTCAAGTTTTAATAGTATGTTGATCTTAGACCTCCAAGGTAAACTTGGTCCTGTCTTTGTGCCATAAATGTGCCTTGTACTCAGTAGTGCTAAATTGCTGTCACTAGTGCTAAATGTACCACTAATTTATCTGCGTGTCTGCTTCCCTTCTTAGATTGTGAAACTGTTGAGGACAGAGATGGAGAGAGCCCCTTACTCATATTTATAAATTTTCTGGCATGATGAATATTTGCCGAAGGAATAAACTTGTATTCTTATTTTTAAGCAGGGTTTTCTCCCCATCTGAGTAGATGATAGTCCAGGAGCAAAGAAAGTAGAAGTCTTTGAGCAAGTAGAAGTCGTCTCAAAAATCTGGCCACATTCTCAACCCACCCCACCCCTGCTTTTTTAAACAGCTATTTAATTGCCATTGTAATCCTAAGGATTGGATCAATTCTTCACCTTCCTTCATACATTTTTCCTTTTAGTAAGAAAATAAAGTAATAAAGAGCCAAATGGAGAAAGCTGTCCATTAAATATGAATTAATAGGCGCTATGATCAGAAATTGTGTAAAAGCAACATAATGGGGCTATTAAACAGTATTATCTTTGAATCAGACACCTTGGGTATATTTTATAGCCCTGCTACTTTCTAGTCATACAACAGCGATCAAGCTGTATTACTACTTTGGCTCAACAAAATAGGGATAATCTCCATTTAATGGCTTATGATTCATGTGAAATATTCACACAAACTACCACTGTGCCTGGTAAGTAAAAGACACTCAGATATTTCTTGGAGTTACAGTTAATACTGTATCCTTTAAATCTGAGAAAAAACAACTTTTAAAAATAACATATATACAGTTGTTTACTGCTAGAAATGGTATTTAATTAGTTGATAACCTTGGTTAGATAATGAAAAACAATGGTTTTTATCTCAGTTATCCTAATGTGATAGGGAAGAGTTACAGAGCTCAAATGGCAAAAGAATACCTGACCATTAAGATGCCTAGTTAGTTCCTGAACCCAAGAAGACAAGACTCTACTTTATACTACTCTCCACAGTTAAATCATTGATATTTGCACCCTGCAGTGAAAACAGAACCATTTAGATGTTCACTGATTGTATTTTTCCTTATGAAAGGTAGAAGGTTAGAGAAAATTGTTCTCAATACAATTAATACAAATAAAGTTGGTTGATGATTAGGTGCTTTTTAATTAAGCAATAGGGGCATATGAAGCTTCATTACCTATGAGAATTTTGTCAGAATTATTTCCCAGTTAACCATGTTTTGAAGCAACCTCTCAGAATTCCCCACTTCCAATTTCTCCTCTTTCCATTCTTACTGATTTGACTCCATACCTTTTTGCTAAATAAACATTTCTTCCAACTCTCAGTTTTGTGTTTTTTTTTTTTTCATTTGATCTGCTCTTGAAAGTGTATCAGCTAGTGATTGAATTAGACTGTGGTGTAACAGAATCCTGAGACAGTAGCTCAAACAAGATGGGTTGGTGTTTCTTTGATTTGTTTTGTTTTTTAACCCAAAGTCTTGCTGCCTTTTTCACAAAGACCAAGCTTTTTCAGAAACTCCCAGCTTACGTCTCATTTGCCACAACTGCATCACATGGCTATCTTCTAGCTGTAAGAGATGCTGAGAAACATTTTTTGTTTTTGTTTTTCTGGACACATTGTCACTCTGAGCAAATACAAAGTTTTATTTGGATCATTGTACTAACAATCCACCTTTTATGGCAATTTAAGTAGTCATTTTTCATAATTGGAGGATTTCCTGGAAGGGTAAAGAACTGTATTGATTACTTATTGTGACTAACATAAATTATCCTACCACCACCATCCCATAACTCTAAACTGTACAGAGATGTCATAGAAAACACAAGTGTGCACACAGCTAACCACAAAAGAAAGAGGAAATCTCAGCTGCCAGAAGTGAAGAGGAAATAAAGCCAGAATAGTAAACTCAGCAGCTGAGGTAAACTGGCCTAGGGGGATGATGGTGTTGGCTGTGGCTCTCACCTATGGACCCTAAGACTTTAACAGCCAGAGATATGGCCTGATTATAAAGGGAAGCTGGGACAAACCTCTGCACAAAGCCAAGACCCTAGAAGGTACTGCAGCCTCAGGAAAGAGGACGAGCAGAATTCCATACAGCAACCCACGGAAGCTACAAAGTGGTCTGAACCCAAGACTTTAGGGAAGAAAGAGAGGAAGGTTTCTGTGAGGAAGAGTTGAAGTTTACATTTCAGTTTTGCTCTCAGAGTATCATTGCTTAGCTTTAAAATGTCAGGCATATCAAGGTAGTGGCTTTAATAAAACAATGAATAAGATGTACAGAAGTATGTGTTCTCTTGGGTCCTCTTTAAAGTCATTAGGGAAAAGAATTGACTGGCATATATTCAGACACATTTGAAGAAATTACGTATTTTTGGAGATGGAGTCTTGATTGCATGGCTCACTGCAGCCTCAATTTCCTGAGCTCAAGTGATCCTCCCACCTAAGCCTCCCAAGTAGCTGGGATCACAGGCATGTATCATCATGCCCAGCTAATGTTTAAATTTTTGTACAAATGGAGTGTCACTATGTTGCCGAAGCTGGTCTCAAACTCCTGGGCTCAAGTGATCCTCCCATCTTGGCCTCCAAAGTGTTATGATTACAGGCATGAGCCACCATGCCTGGCTTGATGAAAAATTTTAGAACAGAAGGAATAAGCTAGGATGCAGCACAGAAGAGATAGAAAAATGAAAGTAATTCATGGAAGATCCAATATACATATATATTTTAGGAGTTTAGGGGAAAATAGAAGGTGTAAGGCAATTGTGAACTGACCTAAAAATGTGTAGTATACAACTCTTGGTAGATAAATGGTACCCACTGAAGTTTTTGAGGATTGGGGAACAGGTGGCTTCCTTCTCTTAGACTCTTGCCACCAAATTGCCCACTAACAGCTATGTTAAAATGAAAACAGTTTCACACCAACTTCTTAATATACGTGTATCTATATGAACTGAGTAAGAAAACTGATCTTACAGCGTGTTCTGCAGACTAAAGGAAATTGCTGTCTGCCCATTGAAGTGCTCTAACCACCATCTTGCCTGAAAGATTAAGAAGCAGGATCCTATTACCTTATCAAAAGGTGTGTTCATGGCTGGACAGAAACCTTTTACAGGGTTAGACTAGGACATTATTCCAAAATATAAGGGCTATGGGTCATGCTGGATTCTTAAGGCCTCTTCTTGCAATGCTGGGATGTTACTCTGCTATTAGTCAATCTGAAAACCTTTAATTTCACCATTGGAGGCGCATTTAAACAGCAGGCCGCTAATATCTCTAATAATTTCTACCATTTAGTATGAAAATTAAAACATTGTATGTTGATCAAGATGCAGTCAACAGTACCTAGAATAGCTTCCACAAGAGTATGTGTTCTCTGATTAAAACACTAGTTTATCCTCCTGGACTGTTCTTTGTATCAGAATGGTAGCAAGATTTAAGCAATGACTACATAAGTTACGTGTACCAGACAGTATATACTGGACTATGTCCATGTAAATTACAGACAACAGTTACACTAGAAGCAATAAATAGCTAAGAAATTGCCATAGTTGACCAAAGACATATCAGGAATAATATTTGTTTCTGGAAACAGAACCAATGTTGCAGTGGCTTAAACTGTTGCACTTTTCCTTTCCTTTCAGATGTAGGCTGTCCAGGTGTCCAGTACTGTGACTCCACAACATCAGTAGAGCCCCAGGCTTTGTCTGTCCTCTATGATCCACTCTCGACTATGTAGAATGTGTCTTCAAGATCAAAAAATGGTGGCTGTAGTGCTCACATTCCAGATAAGGAAGAGTGGGCAAGAAACAAAAGATCCACTCCAAATGTGATGGCAAAATTAAGACTTGTGAGTGAAAACTGGAAATTTGTCTTTGGTACATACACACTGAAAGAAATGTCGAAGAGAGTTCTTCAGGCAGAAGCAGGTGATTCAAGTGAAATCCTAGAATGCAGGAATAAATGAAGAGCAATGGAAATGGTAAATATGTGGCTAAATTTGAAGGAATATTGGATATATTAAATTCTGAGGTTTAAAATACCTGTGGAATTAAAACGCACCTGCAATAACAAGAGGCAGGAGAAGTCTGTACTAGAGTTTGTCCTCAGGTTCTAGCATTAGGTAGGTAATCGGTAAAATTACTTTCTTTAGACTATGAAGACAAGCGTGCATGTTGTAATCTGTTAAAAGGCTAATAGAATGTATACCTAACAATTTAACGGAGGCAAAAAGTATTTAAAAGAAGGCAAGAACAGAAAAGGGAACATAAAACAGATGGGTCAAATTTAAAGTTGCAAAATGTAAACCCAAACACTTTAGATGAGTCATTACTTGAATTAAGGTTGAAAATTTATCAGGCTAAAAATTTCCTACTACATACTGCTTATAAGAGGCATATTTAAATATAAGACCATAGAAAAAGGTTGAATGTAAATGCATGGGGGAAAAATACAGTAAGCAAACCAAATAAAAACAGTTTGTGGTATTATCAGGCAACGAGATTTAAGGCAAAAAGCATTCCTTTATAATGTTGAAGGAATTAATTCACCAAAACACATAATGATCCTAAATCTGTATGTGTCGAAAACATTTCAAATCATAAAGCAAGAATGACAAATAAGATGAGAAATAGGTAAGTCTCGAACCATAGTTGAAGGGTTACACAGCTTTTTCAATAGCTGATAGAATATCCAGAACCTCCCACCCAAAAAACCAGATGTAAAAATATCAACATTTACATATATTGAATACTTGGTTTAAGAAACATAATTCACATTTTCTTCAAGTAAATAATTTATCCAAATTTACTCTATGCTGAGTCGTAAAGCAGACCAATCTCAAAAGTTCAAAAGCATTCATCTTACATTCTCTAACACAGTGGGATTAAACTAGAAAACAACAGAGATGATTAGAGGAACCCCCTACTACTTTGAAATTATGTCATAGATTTCTTGATAGTCCCTGGGTCAAAGAATAAAACAAATTTCAAAACAATTTCAAGTGAATAATGTGACATACCAAAACATGTGAGTTGCAGCTAAGCAGTGCATGAAGGAAAATTTATAGACTTACTTGCATCCATTAGAAAAGAAGCAAGGCTGAAAATCAGTGACCTGAACTGTTTTCAAGAAGCTAGAAAAATAAAAGCAAGGAAATAATAAAACACTAAAAATAACACATAATAGAGAAAGCCAAAATATTGTTTCTTTGAAGTCTAAAAACAATAATCTCTACTGTTTAACATATTTGAGATATTAGCCAATAAAATAAGGCCTGAAGTAAAAAGATACAATGTTTAGAAAGCAGAAATTAATAGCATTTATAGACAACTGGTTGGGTGCATAGAAATTTCAAAAGACTCAACAAACAAAATACTGAACTTATCAAGGTCACCGAATACAAACTAGACAGAAATTGTATTTCTATATATCAGAAACAAATAGAAATTGATAAAAATTATACCATTCACACTAGCATAATGTAAGTACCTACAATTTTTTTAAATCATTTAAGAAATTTTAAAAATTCTAAATGTATGGATATACTACATTCATTACTTGGTAGTTTTGTAAATTAATCTGTAACTTCAGTATGTGATATTATCAAAATCCCAACAGTATGCTGGAGAAATTGACAAACTGAAGAAATGCAAAGGACAGAGAATCTCCAGGGTAAACTTGAACCACAAACCTGAAAAAGTTCACCAACAGACATAAGACCTGTGATTATAAAAGTATAGTTTTAATTAATACTGATGTTGCCTGGCATAAGACAGGCAAATAGACTAAAGTAACAGAATAGATAGAATTCTGTGTATATGGTGATCCACACATTTAGGTCATCTGTGATTTATGAGAAAGGGAAACTATTGCAGTGGTACAGTCAATTAGATAGCTGTGTTGGGGGGAAAACTAGACCCCTTTCTTGACACCATATATACAGAAAAATCAGTTCCACATGGAATATGGTTTAAATGAGAAAGGAAATAATAAAACAGATATCTTCATACTTTGGGGTAGGCAACTATTTAAAGACACAAAGCATAAAGGAACATTTTAAAGTAATTTGTGGTGATAGAATCAGGGTAGAGGTTATCACTTGCCTGGCAAAATTGATCAATAAGAAAAAACAACTTAGCGGAACACAGTGGCTCATGCCTGTAATCGTAGCACTGGGAGGCTGAGGCATGAGGATAACTTAAGGCCGGGAGTTCAAGACTAGCCTGGACAACATAGCGAGACCTTGTCTTTACAAAAATTTTAAAAATTAACTGGGTGCAGTGGCATGCACTTGTCATCCCAGTCACTTGGCAGGCTGGGGCAGGAGGAATTTGAGCCCAGGAGTTCAAGGCTGCCGTGAGCTATAATTGTGTCAGCACACTCCAGCCTGGGCAACAGAGCGAGACCCTGCCTGTGTAAATGTTTTTTTAAAAAAGACGACTTGGTATCAGGAAATAAATAAGACATGAAAGCAGATGAAATTATTTGATTCAGAATGTTGTTTGTGTGGGTAAATCTGAAATTTTAGATATTTTTTGATATGTGTCACCAAATATATATTAATAAATAAGTCTGAATCTCTTTTTTTAAATTTACTCTGAATAATCCACAAGTTCTGGATGGTTTGTTAAATACATTCATTGTGACCAAGTAAGGATTATTTCCATATGGGAGAATGATTTAACATTGGAAAATCTTTTCACATACTATATACTATGTTAATAGAGTAAAGAGAAAAGGCATGTTGCTATCGCAGTGAATGCAGGGGGTTGGAGGAGAGAACCAGCAAAATGTAAGTTATATTCACTTAAGATTTTAAAAATAAAACATCCTCTTTATAGATGCAAAAACGTTAATAGTACGACAAATGATAGTGTACCAAAACTCATGGTTAATGTTACAAGTTAATGGTACAGCTTTAGAGATGTTCTTTCATGCGGCAATAGTACAGAAATGGGCTGTTGTATTAATACATTCGTTCCATGTTGCACTGGTCATCTTGGCCAGTGCAGTGAGACTAGAAGAAGAAATAATAGGTGTAAGGATTGGAAAGGAAGAAACAGTTATTGTCAGTGGGCAAGATCATTGTTTATTTGAAAGTCCAAGGAACACTACAAAGTAGTATAACTAATGTGAAAGTGGAGAGGTTTTGGATATAAGACCAATCTGCAATAATTAGTGGTGTTCTTTTCCACTTCAAACAGTATGTTTCAAAGTGTATTATTTGAAAAAATTTCATTCACAATTAAAACTCTAAGGGACCTAATAATACATCCAATAAAAATATGCAAGCATTTTGTAAAAGTAGACTGAAATCAGTGGAGCAATATTATATGTTTGTGGATGGGAAAAATCAGTACATTACAGCATCAATTCTCTCCAAATCTATAAATTCACTGAAGTTCCAATCAAATTCTTAACAAAACTTTGTATGGAATTTAATCAACCTAACCTAAATGTAGAAAGACAAAGCTGAGATTTTTTTTTTTTTAAAGGGAAAATAAGGTTAGGGGAGTTCCTATCATAAAGGACAGTGGGGAATATAAAACTATAGTGATAACACAGCCCTTGTGATGCAAGGATAGACATGTAAATCTACAGTACAGAAACAGATACATGAGAACTTGATATGTGACAGAGTGGAGAAATGAGTAACTTTTCATTAAATGGCATTAAGACAATTGCATGTCCATATGTGAAAAATACTATATACCCTTCTCACACCATATTTTAAAAAACTGGTAGATTAAAGACCTAAATGTGAGTGGGGGAAATACCATTTTAAATATTTTAGAAGGAAACACAGGAAAATTTAAACCAACGTAAGGTTGATTTGACTCAAAGTGGGAACCATGAAGAAAACGATTCCCACATCTGACTATATTAAAACAATGACAAAAGACTAAATATTAGAAGGCCAGCCACAGACTCGCAAAAGGTACTTACCTTTCAATTACCTAGAGACCAGTAACTAACAAAGGAAGTGTCCAAATTACATAAAGGACTTCTTAAGGGGGTGGCAATAAATGAGCAATATATGAGAGAGAACCAAAAGGTAAATTAACAGGAAAACGTTTTCGCTCACTAGTAGTCAAGGAAATGCCAGTCAGCACAGCCAGATGCCATTTCACATGCAGTCAGATAATAGCAATGATTGGCAAACACGTTGATAAAACAATTCATACTTTAGTAAAGTTGAAATTATACATTGCTTATAACAGCAGTTCAACATCTGTCTTTTTCAAAACTAAAGTTTGCATCATATTTAGGTATAGAAATTGTCAGAACCCTTAAAGCTTATTGTAGGCATTTGTTGGAGGGAGACAGAAGACTGAATTGCTTTTTTCCAAAACTAGAAATCACATTAATGTAAAACAGAGCCTTAGCTTTAGAGACGGAAAAGAAAAAAAAAAAACCCTACAGTATTTTCTTAAATTTATCTACATTTAAAGATATTAACAAATGCACTTTGCGAACTACCAGTCTCCTATATTGGTCATATTTTGACAAGGCTTTTTTTTTTTTTATAACATTGACATTCATACAGAGGTTACAATTCAGATTAGGAGAACATATGTGTAATAGAACAATTTAACCAAAAAAGTTTCTTTCTCTTTATGTGAAATAGCAGAAAAGCAACAGCAGTTTATTGTGTATGATAAAATATGTATGATACTCAAATTGAATATTTCTTGAGACCTTTGCTTCAATCTATTAGTATCTAATACAGAATTTTTATATTTAGTTCAATAAATCATAAATTCAGTTTTCTTAGACTGAAAATTCTTATCTAAATAATTTTGGGGTTCTAGTGATTAGTTTTAGAGACTGATTTCCTTTTAATGAGAATTACCTATTTTATATATGTCCAATTTTACATATTTCTAAAAGAAGATACCTCTGTCTTTGTTAATATGTGGTGTATGTATACAATGAAAAATGTACAAGGATGTTTCGTACAACAGTTATTGAAATAGCAGGAAGAAAAAGATAACTTAGAAGACATTTGGCACTAGAGTCTTCAGTCAGATCTACTCCCTGGCCCATGAGCTAAGAATATTTTTGACATGTGTATAAAAGGAGTGACTTAATAGATTTGGCATGTTGCAACCCTGCATCTTTAAAAGAAAAGTCTAGCCCTCCAGATCACCTGAGGTCAGGAGTTCAAGACCAGCCTGACCAACATGGAGAAACCCTGTCTCTACTAAGAGTGCAAAATTAGCCAGGCTTGGTGGCACATGCCTGTAACCTCGGCTACTCAGGAGACTGAGGCAGGAGAATCGCTTGAACCCAGGAGGCAGAGATTGCAGTGAGCCAAAATCATGCCATTGCACTCTAGCCTGGGCAACAAGAGTGAAACTCCATCTCAAAAAAAAAAAAAAAAAATGAAAGGTCTAGCCCTCAACTTACTCCTTACTCCTGGGAGATCACAGCTACGCCCTTGGAATACCCTATATGACAGAAGGCCTTTGTTTACCTGGGGCCTTGGATCACACCAGATAGTTGGTGCTACAGATTTATGGTGGGGGCATTGCACCTTGAAGTATCAATTTAATCTCTGGGGGAGATGGAAACTGAATAACAGCTGCCATTTCCATTTTCCATGCCTTTGTGATTAATACCCAATAAAAACCTTGGACACCAAGTCTCAGCTTCCCTTGTTGATATTTCATAAATGACCGACATTCAATCAGACAGGATTAAATGTTGTGAATGCATCTCCTGTCAGATGGGACAACTGGAAGCTTGCCTCTGCTCTGGAACTCTTTTCTATCTGCCTTTTAAAATCTTAGCTGGTTTTAAACTGTACTTTTGTTCTAATAAACTGCAATTGTCAACATAACCACTTTTCTGAGTTCTGTGAGTCATTGAACTGGACAGTGGTTTTGGGGACCCTGCCACAACTGCTTAAACAACTATTTTTTTAAAATAATATTTGACAGAGACTGTATGTTCTGCAAATTGTAAAATATTTGCTCTTTGGTCACTTATAGCAACAGTCCCCAACCCTTTTGGCACCAGGGACCACTTTTGTGGAAGACAATTTTTCCATGGACGAGGTAAGGGGGGAGGTTTCGGGATGAAACTGTTTCACCTCAGATCATCAGGCATTAGTTACATTCTCATGAGGAGTGTGCAACCTAGATCCCTTGCATGTGCAATTCACAGACCACTGTTGATCTGACAGGAGGTGGAGCTCAGGTGGTGATGCTTACTTGGCCATCACTCACCTCCTCCTGTGCGGCTGGGTTCCTAACAGGCATGACCAGTACTGCTCCTCGGCCCAGGGGTTGGGGACCCCTAACTTACAGAGTACTTTTGCCAACCCCTACAGAAATATAATGAAAGAATAACTTTGTTTTATACATTGAGAACAGCTAAAATGGATGAATATTGAGATGAATAAATCTCAATCTGTTTTAATTGGGGGAAAAAAGGAACAGAAGGCTGAAACAGTGTATCATTTATGTAATTTATGAAAAATGTGTATGCATTGAGAAAATCACTAAGTTATTTTCGACATATAGATGTGTGTGTGTGTGTGTGTGTATATATATATAATATATTTGTTTACAAAAATAAAGCATTGCTTTTGCAGGGGTTAGTTTTCTTTAGGCTGGGGACAAGACATCAAATCCACCCCTGGTTTACAGTGGAGGCAGTATACAGTTGACCTTTGAACACTGCTGGAGTTAGGGGTACCGATCCTAACCCCCACTCTGCCACTACCTGACAATCTTGAGTATAACTTTTGACTCCCCTCAAATTTAACTACTTCATTGATTGGAAGCCTTACTGATAACAAATAGTCCATTAACACATATTTGGTACACTACAGGCATTACATACTGTATTCTTTAAGCTAGGGAAAAGAATGTAACTAAGAAAATTGTAAGGAAGAGAAAATATATTTACTCTTCTTTAAGTGGAAATGGGTCATCATAAAGGTCTTCATCCTCATGTTCATGTTAAGTAGGCTGAGGAGGAGGAGGAAGGTGGGCTTGATCTAGCCCTTTCAGTTGTGGTAGAGATGGAAGCGGTAGGAAAGGAGGCAGGAGAAGCAAGGCACAGTTGGTGTGGCTTTCATTTTTTAAAATCCACATACAAGAGGACCTGTGCATTTCAAACCCATGTTGTTGAAGCATGCACTAATTGAAATTTTCTTAAAAAAAAATCTTGGTTACTTGTAGCAGTCACAAAAAACAGAACACCCTAAGTTTAGTGTCCACTGATACCTAAAAGACTTTAAGGGTATTACATTTTAAGTGCTATTATGATCTTAAGTAATCATCAAACAAGAAAATGGATATTAAAATGCTTTGTTAAGGTAAAAATGGTATTCCTGATGTTAACCATCTAAACTGAACTTAGATTTCTAGTATATACCAGCTGGGGTGACATAGTGAGACCTGGTCTCTACAAAAACTTAAAAAATTAGCCAGGCATGGTGGCACATCCCTATAGTCCCAGCTGCTGTGGAGGCTGAGGCGGGAAGATTGCTTGAGCACAGGAGATTGAGGCTGCAGTCAGCCACAGTCACACCACTGCACTGTAGCCTGGGCAACAGAACAAGACTGTGTCTCAAAAATAAATAAGAAATAGATTTCTAGTTTATCGTGTTTAATGATACCTTCCCTACCTGCATTCCAAGAGTTACTAGAAAAATCAAATGAGACAATGTCCCAAAAACCCCACAAAACCTTACCTTTAAAAATGATAAAATACTATGCAAATTAGTCATAAAAATATTACTAGTGCCCTGACTGTGATGACACTCATGCAGCGTAATTATACTTGTGAAGGGAAAAAAACAATATTCACTTTGGTTTCCTGAGACAAGAGGTGAGCTGTGTGAGCAATAAAGGAAAAATAACAGTCATACAGGTCTTTTCTTGTAGCTCATGCCAGGTTAATTAAGGGATAAGAGAAGAATAAGATGTGGGTCCTGCCTTTTTTTTTTCAATTCAGCATTTACTGAACATCTGCTATTTGTCAGGTGGAGGAAAACTAAGTACTTAGCTATATTAACTATTGTCCTCATATGCCTGAAAAAGGATTATCCTTGTTTCTCATGTGAAAAATCGAGATTCAGAGAAGTTAAGTAGCTTGAAACCTAATAGGTTCTGAACTAGCATTTGAACCCATATTTCTGGCCGCTAAACGTGTTTTACGGAACCAACAAGACGAAAACTAGGATCCAAGTGTTAAATAGTAAAGAGAAACACTTATTGTAGGAGACAAGGGAAGAAAACATTCATGTTGACAAGGAGCAGTGAGGGGAGGCTTCCTGCGACAGGTGGAGCTTGAAAGAGGCCCTGAGGATAGGAATTTGGTAGGTATAGGAAAATAGCCATTGCCAGCAAAGGACAGTGATATAGCTCCAGTTACCATTTACTGAGTTACCTGCCTGGGTGAGCCAGTGCGCCCATCTTGGAAGATGAGAACATTCACACTGGCTGCCTCTGGTAACTTTTTCATCCCGGGACAAGAAATAGGGGCGAGTGAATGGGAGAGTCATTAAGACAGCATGGAGAATTGAAGAAACCTGGAAATGATGGAAGATTCTAGTCATTTTCAGAACTCAAGAACAGGCCCAAGGTCTGGGTAAAGCCTGTAACATAACATACATAATTTTGTAAACGCACCATATCAGATAACTACTTAAAGATGTTTTGGATGGTAACTGATTTTTGTAAACTCATTTTAGAGAACTAGGTATTGGAGATGGGGGTTGGAGAAACAGTGGAGGTAGAATTCAGAGGACCGGGATTCTATACCATTTCCCTTGAGGCAATTTCTGATTATGTGTATTATAAGAATGTATTGAGCCTCAGTCACATTTACCCTACCTTCAGGGTTGCGGGTAAAAAATGATCAATATAAAAATACTTGGAAGATAAAAAAAATTGATATAGATGACAGGTTTTATGTTCAAGCAGCATTGACGGTGCTACTGTGAGCGAATGTAATAGTTTATTATAACATGCTCTAATATGGTTTTAATGGCTTTTTTCTAAGTTTGAAAGATTTTTAAGACAGATACTTATAACTTTTCTTCTTTTGGTAATGATTTTTAAGAGGAACTAAATCATTCCTGTAGCCAGACTTTGCAAATGAAAGAGGAAACAAGCCAAGGGAACCTCACTTAGGATATAAGACACTCATAAGCATGGGTGTTGCAACTGCCCAGTTGTCATGTTCTTACTAACACATTCAAAAAGTATAGTTGGTGAATTCCCACTAAATATGTATTCTTTGCTGTTTACCAGGGTTAGGAAAGTATACGAGCCGCCAGAGCCGCCAAATAAGTACGTTTCTGCATCTTCAGTGTGTCTCTCCCACACTGTGGTTACCTGTTTGGCAGTTTTGCAGTATTTTAACCCATAATCTACCAACCAGTTTTATAGGATTTTGTATTGTGTAGTTTGTATTGTTAAAACAGTATACAGTTTTTTTATGATCTAGATTGTTAATTATATTAATTTTCAAACTCATTCCCTCCTCCTGTTGAGACTCACTGTCCTATGGGGAATGAGGAAAAAAACAAGACACTTTCTCTGTGACTCAATCTGTCTAACATTATTCTGAGAATTAGGTTCAGGCTCCTTGGCTTAAAGCACAGACATTTAATTATCTAAGCCAGTAGTTTTCAAATGTTTTTAGAGTGAAATCTACTCTTTAAAAAAAAAAATCATTCACTAAAGCCCAACATATAAAGAACATGAATATGAACCCACCTGCTAAGCTGATTCCCTAGTTACCCCTTTTAACATTAGCACCTGAGGCACCCAATTCCAAGCCCACTGACCTAAGCCCACCTTCGTTGTTATCCTCATCTCTGGCCATTAGCCTAGACAGGCTCTCCAATATAGCCACGTTTAGTTCCCCACGTGTCCTGTTTTGTAATCTTGTGCCTTCACACATGCAGTTCTTCCACTGTGAATGCTTCATCCTCCTGCCACTTTATTTTGATGACATTTAATTGTCCTTGATGTAATCTTTTCCTAGAAATCTGCCCTGATGTCCTTGTCTGTGCTTCCTCCGCATTCATGTCATTCATGATCATAGACTTTACTACACTGTAATAGGTAATTTACTTGTCTGACTCTCCCACACTGCAATAGTGTTCTTTTTGGAACGTGTTCTTATTTGATATTCTGCCTCCAGCGCCAGGCCATAGTTGGTGATCAGTTACGTTGGTAAATGGATGAATGGATAGACTGACGAGCAGATGGACGGATGAAGGAATCTGCCAGCAGACCAAGTGAGTGAAGCGTCCCAGTGCCTTGAACTGAGAAAGGAAATAGAAGGAACTGAAAAAAGAGAATTCTCTTCATATGGCCAGCTGGATTGGGATTTGTCTGTGGGCTAAGAGTAGACCGGACATACTTCCCAGAATGCAGTCATCACTGAGTTAGCCCTAGGGAACAGTCCAGCATGAGTCATATGCCTTCTCTCCATATCTGGTGCCATATATTTATAGCTAATGCTGGTGGGTTTTCACTTGTTAAACAGCAAAAGAAAAATGATTGCATGAAGGCCAAACAAAAGACTAATGGAAGTGAGTTTAATAATTAATTTTTAAAAGGCTTACAAATGACAATTCAGCTGGGAAGTTATAGAAGCATTTAAGCTGAAATTTCAGCTACAGGATGCAGCTCTCTGGATTGTTCTTCTGGGGTTAAACGGGTAATTTGAAAGCTGGCAGGAAGAAGGGCAGTGATACTTGTTTGTCTACATTTTTTGTCTTTTAAACGGCAAAATAGCTCTTTGGAAAGAAGAGTGTTTTTCATTTGTGTGATATGAGATGGCTAGAGTCAACGAAATGTGGAATGGAA